TCTATTCCTCGTTCTGGCCAGTTAAAGTATTATAGAGCTCAGCCGACACCATACTGACAAGCGCTTAGGTACCAGAATGGATCAATTCTAATAGCCACTCTTCACCCTACGTTTACCATCGTACATACCATGAGCACCTCCCGCGGGCCATCCCGGATTGTCTCGCTAGCATGGCATGCATCATCGTCAAAGCAAAAGTCAGACATGCTTGCTACCCTCTCCGCAAATGGTGATCTGAGGGTGTGGAGCGTGGCTAAGCCAGCTGGTAAAGATGCACCACGAGTAATCAGGGTTCTCAAGAGGTCAGATACGTCTTCATCCTCCGAGCCTAAGTGGATGGCCTGGTCGAAGAATGGAAGAATCGTTCAGTATCTCGATGGGTAAGATGGCAGTATAATCCTGGTACTACCCACTATGCGGTGTCAGTCACTAACAACTGCTGCTAGGGAGACTTGGGCCTGGGATGTCCGAACTAAACACATCACTTCGGAGCCAGTTCCGACGATTGATAATCCTTGTGGGTTCGCCAACTACGGGCCAACAGCCACATTATTCACACTGGGGCCTCACCATACCGTACAGCAGTATGATCTTGAGAGCCCAGGATTAGTCGCCAATGTACAACACCTTCCTGGCGGAGCCTTACCACCATCAGGAGAGACTAGAACCCGTGGTGCGTCAGCACGCGTGTTACAGGACCCACCGGAGATGAAGGAATCCGGTGCCATGTACGGCACGAGACGAGCTCCGTTTGATCCGAGTGGAATCGAGGTTGTACGTCAACACCGTGCCGAGATAAATAGCCCTGTCTCCTCTCGAAGTCACGCAGACTCCGTGAGTTCAAAGGCGTCCTCGGGAAAGTACAGGATGGCCCCATTTTCATCCCCAAGTAGGTCGGGTCACACCGCTACATCCTTTTCACTCACCTCCGCTAGTGGTAGAGACACCCCTCAGGCATCTGGCGCATCTTATGCCTATGCATCTTCCGTATCCATGTCATCCGTGAAAAGCTCTCGTGCCGGCTCTCGTTTGCGAAATGAGGTCCACCCCAGTCCAGCCGATAAGTCTATAGATCTGTTTCCTTTCACACGCGAACGACTCAACGATGTACCATACAGCCGTCAACAGCCACTGGATGAGTCGCATCTGACGCCAGACGATCTCCGGCGCCAAATGCTGAGCGTGGTCTTCGGTTGGGAAGGTGATATTGATGGATTAATTAACGATGAGCGTATGGAATACTTTGTTGCCCCTGTCTAGCTATCTTCACTAACTCCTGTTTCAGTTAGCCGCCACACACCGGGTACTCAAAGCGCTATTCTACTCGCCCAGTGGCTAGGGGAATCTGACACCGACCAAATGGTGTCCATGCTTAGCGCAGGCCCAGCCTCTACCACAGATTGGATGCTCCTTGCTTTCAGCCAGATGAGTGGAGAATCACAAGCCAACAAGGTCGGACAGGCATTTGTTCAGAAGCTTCTGGAAACTGGTGACGTGCATACTGCAGCTACAATTCTTCTGGGACTTGGCGATAAGAACGACGCTATTGAGGTTTATGTCTCTCAGAGCTACTATATGGAAGCTATCCTAATGGCGTGTCTGGTAACACCCACAGATTGGCAGCGTCAATCATATCTCGTCCGCCGCTGGGGGGAGCATGTTGTCTCACACTCCCAGCAGCAGCTAGCAATACGGTGCTTTATGTGCACGGGAGTGGAGCCTTCGGGGCCTTGGACCTCTCCAGCCGCACAGCAGGCTACCTCCTTTGCCGAGATGATGTCAGGAAAATCACCCGTCACCTCCCCGGAGCCTCCATATCCCAATCCCGCAAGTCTTCTACCACCAAGCTCTCAGACAAAGCCTTGCAATACCCGACAGGTTAAGACTCCAGCTCTCAAGCTCATCACGTCGTTTGACTCGCAACCAAGCCAGAGGTTTCGATTCCCCGGCTTAAAATCGGATGATAGGACACCTACGAATGCGCCTGGAGTTACGCCCATTGCTGAATCTGCTGTAGCCGACTCCGCGTTATCGCCTGGAGGCTTTGGGTCGTACAAATTGAATAACATCCAGAGTCTCAACAATGCTATGAACTCCCGAACAGGTACTCCCGCCTTTGGCAGAGGGCGCTTGCCTTCCATCGGGGAAACTCCGGTTGACGTGCAACCGCCGACCTTTCCATCCAGTGGTTCCAAAAAGCTCGTTGATTATGGCTCAACGTCGGAGAACGATGATCAAGAGGACCAGCCTGGTGATGAGAAAAAGGAGGAGGTTGGCTTACTGCCTTCTGCTACGTACGATCCGGATGATGCGTTCAAACCAAGTCCGCAAACCGCAGTTCAAGCAAGTGCAGACAAGTTTGCAGGAATCAAGGGAATACCGTCGCCAGCAGTTGGGCTTTTCGAAGCTCTGAAAGAGCGATCTGACAGTCGCAATGGGTCTAGGGATAGGATGCCCGATGGACTACAGCTTCATTTGCAGGCTGCTGAATACTCTGGTACTGATGCAGCCGAGCAATGGGATAATGGAAACTTCAGGAGCCCAACATCAACATTGAATAGCTTCAGCTCTGCAAAGAGCCCAAGTGTTAGTGGGCGGAGTATTGAGCAATACATTAGTAGCCTGGACGAGGCGAACTATCACTCAAAAAAGCATCACAAATATCTCTCCAATGGCGTCGGACGGCGAACTACAGATGAAGCAGCCAGCCAGACGTCGGAGAAACGGCATCACTCTAGGAACACGTCCCAGCAGGCGCGAGGTAGACACGATAAGAGGTATATCCCGCCCGCCAAGCGGTCTCCTTCCTCACCGGTGTCGATGTCCCACGAAGAGGTAGCGCGCTACCACGCTGCTCAAGAGAACAACGACGATGCTCGTCAGACCAAACGGCGTTCAAAGACACGTAGTGCAAGCAGAGTTAGGAAGCCACGTTCTCGAAACTCTTCTGAACGTCGGAACAATCGTTCATCAAGCCGTCATACAGCTAATCGAGTCGGCACCGAGAAACATGACCGTGGTCGCAGTGCTGATAGAAAGGGCTCCTACGATAGATCGCCCTCACCGCCATTACCCACATCTACTACAGACGATGCTTTCAGGCTAGTAGCCAGTGATAGAGAACGAAGGTCTCAGCAGCGAAGTAGTAGCCGACGTCCGGAGAAAGGGAAATCGGAGCTACGAGCGAGATCCCGGAGTCGCCATGAACCCGAGTTCAAGATGGGGATGGAACACGAACAGTATGACATGGGTACAAATCCCCAAGGTCTTGTCGTCGAGATAGTACCTCAAACCGACCAGGATATGTCGACTGAGGAGAGCCGGGCCATTCACTCTGCCACTGTACCTCCCGCGGTACCCCACATTGGGCTATCCGAACACAGAAAGAAGGAGCTCGCGGCAGCGGAACTGGAGGCGCGACGACTCTCGCTCGCGCGGAATCCATCAGCGCCCAACATACCCTTTCCGGGAGAATTACAACATAGTCGCACCATTCCCGAAAGCCCGCCATTTTCTGTGAATTCTTTTGGCCCACGCACACCAGGTAGACGGAGGGCGTCATCGAGCAAAGCATCTCCAGAGTACCGAAGCAGCTCGGACTCTAACTCATCTCAGTCCGGGCCATCGGGGCTTGCCACAACACCCAAGGCTATGCGACACCCAAAGTATAACCAGGAGACTGCTCCATCTGTTCCCAACATTCCTGATAGCACTTTTCTGCTGAGTGATGCCAGGTATCAGGCAGACGCTGAGAGAATCGGTCGCTCGATGTCTGTTCCAGTTCCCGAAATAAAGCAACCCGGGACAGTCCCATCCGACCTGCCGATGCATCCACGGTTTAATCCACGTCTCCCGAGAAGTCGCTCGACCAGCAGAACCCGGAACATGGGTCATCGCCGGGAGAGCTCGAGGGAACAAGGCGGGTACAGCTATGGAGGCTCTCCAGTGGATATCAGCATCGAGGAGGGAATCGAGAACGCGATGGAGCTGAAATATTACGAAACTCCTCCTATGTTACCAGAGCTGCAGCACCTTAACGCTCTCCCACCTCCTCCACCCCCTGCCCCTGTGATGGATTGTGTGTCCCCGCGCGAGTCTTCAGGAACCATAGACATCGCTATTGACAATGAGAACATGGGAAAGCTGCTGCCCCGCGCTATGACAGCTGGACCTGCGGTGAGCATGGAGACACAGCCGACTTTAGATCGCCGCCGAATGTCCTTTGAGCACCGACGCGGCAAAAGCGTGAACGAAAGCTTCTCCAGTAAGATCCGCAACCTGGCTCGCATGGGCAGTGTAAGTCGGGCACCCGATAGCTGGGCTGAAACGCATTTTCCGTATGAAAGTATACCAGTTGCCGACAATCGCATCTAGGCCATATTGATACTGTCCGCTGGTCTTTGCTTTGCTTTGATGCTTTTCTTCCTTTTTACCTCCCTTGTTTATGTTTTCAATGTCCTTCCCATTTTGCTACTTGCATTCCATTTTTAGACGTGGTCTGCTTCTCGGGCCTTCACGATTAACGACATTTCATTTTATCTGCTGTTCTGCCCTGGTATGATTCGTAAGGGCATTATGTGGCTGTTGGATGTATACCCTTCCTGACATTATGACAAATTGTTGTCCCATGAGTGATACACTGTGTACTTTGTGTGTCTTTCTTAGATTTTTGCTTATTCCTGCGTATTACTCTTCTTCTTCAGATTGGGTCCGCAAGGACAAGGAAAAGTTCCTTTGTATCTGGGATTGAGGTGGTTCCTGTTGCTCTATCATGCACAGGCTTCCATCACTCTCACAATGCTTTGATTTCCTTGGTTGTCTACCGCTATTAGTAATAATCGGGCTATATGATAGTTAATATGATGTTCATGAGCAATGCAGACATATGCCACAGAGAGTTAATATACATTGTCGAGCCTGTGACCCAGACTCGAAAGCTACTCCATCGTAGAATCAAGAATAGTTAGTATAGTACACGGTGTCAGTCCACTAGCGGGAAATCAATTCCACTTCCCCCAACCTTTATTGCGCCCTTCGCTCGCCGACTCTTGTCCAATATTCCTTTCTGCATCCAATAATCGCTCAAAATCGGCACGAGCTTGCTCCCTCTCCCGCTGCTTGTCACTCTCTGATGATGGGGGGCTCCATGAGTCCCACTGTGGTGACTGCTGGCCGGATGCATCCTGATGACTGGACTGAGCAGGTGCGGGAGCATTTTGTTGTCGAATCCGCTCCCAAGCACCTCCCTGCGAGTAACCAGCCTGTGTGCCCCTATTGGTTCTATACTCAGGCGCCGTGGGGCTAGCATCATCTTCATCGAAGAAATCTCCTCCGCGGCCGTGATCTGCACCCGATCCACCACCAACAGGTTCTAATACCGGACGACGATCAGGGACAGATACCGTCGTCGACTGAACGTCACCACCGGAATACTCCGAAGCATAATCACCACCCTGATCCATCTCGACAACTCCCTGTTGCTCGCCCACCGACCTCCGCCCCCTGGACTCCATCTGCCTTCTTCTTATCTCCTCGGGATTCTGCTTTTTCAAATCCGCCAAGAACTCCTTCAATCGCGAATCCCCCATTGTATTCGTCGTCTCTTTATAAACCGCATAAACACTCGACAACGTCGCGCCCGCCACACTATAGAACAGCAATTTGAAACCCGTCACAAAAACCGCCCGTTTCGCTACAGTCGGCTCAGCAATCATAAACCTCTGAGCGGCCTGCAGAATCTCCTTGGGAGACGGCATCTTCCCCTCCGGACCGGAAGCCTTGGGGAAATAAGCCGGATACAACTCCGATTTCTTGGCCTGCATCCACAGAAGCGCCGACCCGCCGAGGAATCCCAATGGCGCGCCGATCCGTTCCTGGTATAAACTGCGACTGCTGTGTGTTACCATCGCATCTAGTTCGTCTTGTGTGGGGAGGCGCTGGATTAGCACCCGGGCGTTCTCGACTCGACGGAGTACATTGGCGGTTACTTTTCGGTCGTAGTTCCACCGTCCGAAGAATCCAAAGTAGAGGGTGAACGGGTCCGGGTTGGCGATAAGGTCGCGTTTAATGTAGAGCGAGTGGTACTGGTATTTTGTGGTTGGGGTGCTGTCGCTGTCGTTGGTTGCTTCCGCGCCGATGGGGGGATGGGGTCTGTTTGATCGTTTTCTAGGACCATCTTTTTTTGCGGGTTTTTGGGTTTGTCTCTGAGTGGGTGAGGTTTGGAGTTGGGAGTGTATTCTTATTGAGGGATGCAGTTGGAGAGTTGGAGTTGGTTGTGTGATGCTTGTGACGTCGTGGTTGTGCGGATGAGTCAGCGTTTATGTTATGTGGTTGTGCGGCTTTTATGCATTGGGTTTATACTTCGAGTGATTGACACTTGTCTTGCTTTTCTAGTACATCAAGCTCAAAAGTGACAGTTGATATCTTGGGCATGGCTTGCATATTTCAACTGGCTTTGACTCAAGCGCCTTCCATTATGGGTATGTTACCTGTGACCTGTACATCCCCTTCTGCACGCATGATTGCCAGATTCTTCAGTCGGCCTACTAGTAGTTATATATCAAAGGGTCGAATTATAAAGGGCTAAATTCTCCACCATTCTACACATTTGACAACAAATTCTCAAATTCCTGCAATCTTTGCAGGACTGTTTCTACCTCCCACTGGGATCGACCTCGATGCCTTGTGCCTACCAACCGCCTCCTGATGTTCTTGATTTGAATCACTCTATATCTGGTCGAAGGATAGGTTTTTCACACGATAATAGGTGCCTGGTTATTGGGTCAGCCAAAGGCCCCAGCAGCTAGACTAGGAGAATACTAACCCGTACTAGGACCAGGAGATCCGGACGATCCCTCCATCTGCAAATTGATAATCCTGCCATATGTTAGGCTTTGCAAATCATATGGAACATTCCCCGCCCCTCTAGGACTTATCAAGTACTCACAGATACAAAGGCTTCCCGACGTAGTCGGCCCCGTACTGAGTCGTGACCTCCACATCATCAAGGAAGTACTTAACCAAGATATCTGCGTCGTTCTCCGCACGGATCTGAGTTTTGACCTTGTGGAACTCACTCGGAGACGGGTAATCCGTGTTGTGGTTCATGACCTCGGAAGAGGTCTACAAGGCTGTTGTCAATTATGCTGACATGTAGATACGATGTCTGAAAAAGGAAACTCACGTTGAAGACATTGAAGGTGATCTGTCCCGTTCCTGTTTCAATCATCAGTCAAAACTATCACTGGAAGTAGCAAACTCGCAAAACGAACCCTTCCACTCAGCCATATCAATCTCCGGTGGCCAGCTCTCCGCACTATTCAGCCAGAAAGCCGGCCAAGTTCCTTTATCAGTGGTCGCCTGGAACTCAGCCTCGATGTCGAACCCAGAGCCGGCTTCAACCGTAAACGTGCTCTTGGAATGCACGGCTCCGGACAGATAGTTGATTTCCTGGCCTCCACTGGTCGCCGGCTGGCCCGTGGTCGGCTTTGCGACGAGCGTCAGTGTGCCGGACTCGACGGAGATGTAATCGTGGTCGGTGGAGTTGCCGACCATGCGGGCTGAGCCATTGTGATCGCTACCCCATGGGTAGAGGTAGGAGAAGTACTCTTCGAGGGAAGTGTAGGAGTCGAAACAAGTCGTGGGGATGAGATTCTTCGCGGAAGCCAGCGAAGCAAGGGAGAGGAGCGTAACAGGTCTCATCTTGGAAATCTTGATCCAATGTTCGGCCCAATCTTCTTTTTGATGAGAAAAAAATAGTCAAACCCACCGACTACACCCAGGTATTTATCTCCAACCCCTAGACCATGTTCCCAGAATAGACGGATAGCCCGGACACAGATCTGCACGGTTGTCTTGCATCTGCGACACCACGCTAATGTAGCTCCATATTAACCCCACCGGGATATGGCTGTAAATTGCATGATCAACACATCGGAGCTGCACCACTTTTGTTAATGATTTTCTGTTCTATTCGGGGGCCAAGTTGAAGGTCGTTTCAGTGTATCTGGGCCGACGCAGTGTTCCTGAGAACCTTAGGGCTTGGTTTCCTTTTTCGGTACGGAGGGATGGTTTGCTTATCGGGTTTAGTTACACGCTTGGCGATTGATAAGTTGCTAAATGATGTCATTTTACTGGCCCTTCATTTATCGGTATTGCTATCGAAGGCTTATGTATGCTCTTGATATTGATTTTGTTTGTGGGAGATTGAGGGGCATGTAGCAAGGGTCTGGCTGTATGCATGGCTGCAGGTTCGTGAGCCTTGGCCGTATCTTGGTAGTATGCATAACTTGAGATGTCTAGACGCTCATCATAAATGTTTTGAACACGAACTCGGCGCTCCTTCTTCATTTCCTGTTCATTGCTAATCATACATTCCTCTATCCAGGCTAAAGACATCATCCCGAGATGTTAAACGGAAAGAAAACGGTCAAATCACCGACGGACGGCTCGACCCAACAGATCCTCGGTGTGCCTCCAAACCAGCTCAGGCACCCGTTGCTCCCGATACTCTTCTATAATCTTTCGGCTCGGTCGAACCTCCCCGTTCCAATTCAAGAGATATGCTCCACTACCTCCCTCCCCAGTCGTACCCTTTGCGACATCTCCTGACTCGACCGGAACACTCTGGGCCATGATACCCTTCTTGGCCGGGTACCGCGCAAAGCTTAGATGGAACAGATGCCTTTCTCCACTTTCGTGGAGACCGACGGAGAAAGGCCACATCAGCGACCACATCCCGTAGTTGTAGAATATTGAGATAGGCGGCGGGAAACTATTGCTGTAGATATTTGTGCCCACCAGGCCGGGGTAGACGTGAATAAAGCTCACGGCTAGGTGAGTCCTGGCCAAGTGCTCCATACTCAGGTAGGTCATGGTAATGGAGTGTGTATAGGCTCTCCTATCATTTCTCGTCCTTGTATGTAAGCGAAGTTGCCTTCTGTGCAGCATCTGATGTCGAAATACCATCAGAGAATCAGGCATCATGCACCGTCACTATCCCAGAAGATACATTCAACGAATGCGTCAAGGCGATAGATCGCATATTTGGAGTATTCAGCTCCTTAGACATGTCTGCGATTCGAGTTTTGCCAGCAATGCATCTGATCCGGAGGATTTATACCGCGCTCATCCTAGTCAAGCTTCACTTTGCGGCCGTCACATCATCTAACGAAGATACTCGACTGCAAATAGACCGCCTTCAGGTCTTCAGCCGTTTACATTACAGCATACGAATGTTCGTAGGGTGGGGACCACTATGGCCAGCTACCAAGTTGACAACAGTGCTCCGTAGGATTCGGTCCTGGTTTGAAGACAGCGATATAATTAAGCGGGATGGCTCGTGGCTGAATGTGTGGCGACTTGGTCCAGCATATCAGAGTCCTGTGGATACACAGTCCAGCACTGATCTGGTTGGGTCTAATGATGGGTCATTGCTATCTCCTGGCTCTCAAGATCCGCCCTGGATAGTATCTGTGGACCCTTCGGATATGGAGACCATGCGCGTATCTTTCAATTCTTCGCTGGACTTCAGTGGCAGTGCGTTTACTCCTACATCCATTGATCAGCCCATCGATTACTCGCTACTTCCCAGCCAGATATCTCCATCGGCACCCAACGTCTCGGTTGGTGACGATCTTGGCATGAACTCGAACATGATAGATAAAAGGAACATCGATGTCACCCTCGACATGGACCTAGAACTAAACCAGCTTCCCAGCATGCACTTCGACCCAAATAATCTCCAGCTACCATCGTCCCATGACTCGGACGGCTTTTACGAAAACTACACGGCGGAAGATACACGGAGAAACGACTAGATTCATTAAGATTGTTATTCCTTGACAGGACTTCTGATTCGCAATTCAAAAAGTATCAATAGTATCTTCAATCTCGTCACCTGGCGCAAAAAGACCCGGGTAATGTCATAGAACTTGTTCAAGCCAAACAAACCATCCTTACCTGGACAGCACACTCATCGCACCAATAAACCAAACTACCACTTCTCCACATAAGGCCTCAAATCCAACTCAAAGCCCCATGTCGTCCGCGGCTGCGTATGCAAATGCCAGTACGCATCCGCAATCTGCAAAAACACAATCAGCCTCTCTCTCACGCAATACCAAACCCATCCCATAAAGAGACCGAGAAAACCGAAAAGAGGAAACTCACTGCCGCAGGATCCAACTTCGCATCCTCATGCTCAAAAGTCCACGCCTTGGTCCTGGGGATATCAATCACCCCGTCGATAACAACATGCGAGACATGGACTCCCTTGGGCCCGAACTCGCGGGCCAGACTCTGCGCCAACGCACGGAGCGCAAACTTCCCCGATGCGAAGGCTGAGAACGACGCCGAGCCTTTCAGACTAGCTGTTGCGCCGGTGAAGATTAGTGTAGGCGGGTGCTGGAGTCCGCTTGCCTTTTGGAGCAGGGGGAGGGTGCGTTGCGCGAAGTTGAAGCCGCCTTTTCTGTTCTTTTGTTAGCTTGTCTTATCTACAACTAGATAATTGTGCTACTCTAGGGGAAGAAAGGGAATGGAAGAATAATATAAGAAAACTCACCCCTGACTCTCAAACCCCGACACGAACTCCTCCTCCGTCAACTCAAGGAACGGCTTGCGGACGAACCCGCCCCCGGAGTTGAATACAGCTGCTGCGAGTGTCGATCCGCCATATTGCTGGGTGATTTTCTCAAACGCAGAGTTGACGCTGTTGGTGTCTGAGAGATCGGCACTAATGCCCGTTGCTTGGCCGCCGTTTGCGTTGATTTCGTCGACGACCGGCGTGAAGTTTGCTGGGTTACGGGCTAGTAGCACGACGGAGTATGCTTGTGCGAATTTGCGGGCGATAGAGGCGCCCTGTTTTTCTTTTGTTAGGTATGTTTATTATATTCATCGAGTGGTTTGGTTGAGGGGATTTGATAGTGGGGATGGTGGTGTGTGGGGGGGTAACTCATTGATGTGAGGGTATAAGATAAGGACATACAGTTCCTGGGCCAACGCCGGCGATGATTGCAAAGGGCTTGCTGGCCATTTTCTCTTATTTATTTGTGTGATACGTTACTTTTGTTATTGTTTCAAGATCAATTATGAAATTAATCTGAATAGGTCTGGGGATTGGTCTCTACTTATACTCAACATGTGTCGTGATTTTGCTCGGCGTTTGGTTCATGCCGATGATTAGAAATCGATGCGGAGGTTATAAATTCGTGATTTTCTCATCCGTCGCCGCGGTGATATCATCGTTTTTGCTGATGTAACTGGTCCGGATTGTGGGGAAGGTTATTTATGGGGTCTATAGAAGCATAATATTATAGTTGGTTTTGTGATAACCCTTGTTTCGGTTTTTGCTGTTCACGTACTTGGCTTGTGGTTAGGGCTTCAATCACCGAGACAGCGGCGTGTGTTTACCCGATGTATGAAGTAGGCGGTTGAGGTCTATGGAGTTAATGTTGTAGTATTAATATGGGATGAAGCTTGTCCCATACTGGTATCTGAGTTTGGAGAGTCAAGAAGAGACAATGAATGATGTCGACTAGATTTACATCCTAAATTCAAGTGCATAGTCAAGTGCATATGCTAGTACTCAGGTATAGACAAGACAAATGAGGATTTTTAGTTTGAAATAGCTTTCATACATCCTAAAACCAGATCATGCCATTCATAACAATAACCCTACCGAAATTCTATCACCGCAACACCTTTTAGGGGATATTAAGTAAGACCCGAAAACCAGACCCAGAAAGAAAATGCCCTCACAGCTGAATCATATCATTCATAATCTTGACCTCCTCGCCGGGCTTGAACGGCGGCAATCCGATGTACGGACAGCTGGAGCAACGGAACGCATCGCCGAGCGAGCAGCTGTTGCACGAGCTCGTCTTGCCCTGCACGGTGAAATCTAGCTCGTCGTTCAGGTCGTCTGTGTTCAGCTTCAGGATGTTGAGATCTGCAGCGGCCTTTGCCTCACGTGCGCGGTCTTCCTCCTCCAGTTGACTGGCCAGACCGCAGGTGCAATCCTTGCAGGGACGCCGGCGCTTCTTGGCGGTCTCAGGTACACAGTTTTGGGCTATAGAAGTCATAGTCAATAAGATGTTTAACAAGGTAATAGAATATATAAAGGGAAACTCACGTCGTGGAAGAGGTCTCTTCAAATCATCGTCCGAGAGCAACGCATCCTCATCAATCAACTCGTCATCATTGTTCTGGGCCGGATCAAACATTCCCACGCCGTTTGTGCTGGCTCCGTTCGTAGCCACTCCATTCGGAACTCCGTTCACTCCATTGGTCTTATCCTTCTTCTTCCTGCCGCCCAACTTCAATGGCACGGCAGCCTCCTGTGCCGGCTTCTCAAACCCACCATCCTTCTCCACCAGCCCCGCCAAGATAGCCTCCAACCCTTCACTAGCCCCCAAACTCCCTTGCTGCAGCTGCAATCTAGCGCCCGCCTTCATCGCGGGTACCAAAGCGGTATAAACATCCCGAGTCAACAGCCGCACGGCCTCATCTGACGGCGCATCCGTCAACACCAGCACGAGGTCATATGTATTGGGAGGAAGGGAGACAAAGCCTGCGGAGAGGCGATCGAGCATCTGGAGATCGGTCGAGGAGCGATCGAAGGTCGAGAAGACATGACGGAGCTTCTCTTCGTGGGCGGCGACGGAGGGAGGGGCAAGGAGGAGGTTGCGATTTTGACTGCCATTTAACTGAGGTGGGGTAGGAAGGTCGAAGTCGACGGAGGTGTCGATTGTGATGGACATTTTGGAGTGATTATTTTGGTTCACCTCCTTTTTGGGTTTTTTCTGATCTGTTCCTTGGTTCTGTGTGTTTGTGACAGGTAGATAAATGGGGGAATCGAAGGTATAAGGTGGGCGTTTGGTTTGGAGAAAAGAAAGTTGCAACTGGATCGCTTTTCCCTTATCAATTATTAAGATTGGTGGCGGTTTTCGATGCCTGATTTGTCAGGTGGATACCGATCCGATAGCGGAGACACAATCAGCTACGAGCCTTTACTAATGCGTGAGTCACGGGAGGTGGGGGATTGATATACCTAGTTGGTTTCTAGTTAGGCCCGGTCTCTCATTTCTCTTGCCTTCTTTTGCTTACTTTGGATTACACCAGGGCGTGGGTGGGATGATAACACGCACTCAGAATTAGGCTATCAGATGCCCAATGTGACTCTGGACGTAGCTGTGGGTCTGGGCTCATGTATTAAACTACTGTGTAATAACTTTAAAATTGATAAACTGAATAGGATTATCCAGATATTGGTTCAGTTCTTTAGAGCTAGTATTAAATAACTACTAAGCCTGTAAAACTGACTTCTGCAGAGCAATAACCAGAAACTACATAAGTTACTCCACCAGGCTGGTTGACCAAATAGCGGTACCCTAATCTGATGCTGTATTAGGGTCACGTGTACAAGACGGATTCCACGAGAGGCACTCGTGAACATGGACTTTGACCTGGGAATGATCTTGGACTCGTCGTTATGAAAGGCATCGCTAAGACGTTGTGCTGCTCCACCTTGAGACAGTGGAACAAGAGTTGCTGGTGGTTGAGGTAAGAGAAGGAAGCAGAAACACTTGGTCGTCCGATCTACGCAAGACCGTCGAAGCCTCAGGCATAGATTTCAGAGCATAAGGCCTTAATAGACCTTCTTATCGATAAGCTAAACGCATCCAGACTTTTTTTCCCTTCGCTCCACTTCTCATATCATATCATAACATGACCTATCGCTATATCCATACTTAATAATCTACCCTCTTTACAATTTCCCTCATATCTATATAATCTCATTGTACCCAGGATAAGGACATCCACTAGAATGTCCTCCGAAACCCCCCTCCTCTCAGACCTCTGCACAATCTGGTTCGTCGCACCCCATCCCAACAACCCATAGCCATACCAGCAAACCACCTACTAACAAAACAACCAAAAACAGTCACATCCAACCCCCCAAATACCGCTGTCCCCGCTGCTCGACCCGCACCTGCTCCCTCCCCTGTTCTCGCCGCCACAAACTCTGGTCCCAATGCAGCGCGTCCGCGATCCAGCCGCCTACATGAAGAAGAACGAGCTGGCGACTGAATCAGCCTTCGACCGGGATTTCAATTTCATCACGGGCATCGAACGCACCCTGGAGCGTGCGGAGCGCGATGCTGAGAATAGGGGGATCTCGGTACAGCCTGGGACTTCTGGGCGCGGGGTGGATCTTGCGGTCGTGGGGTTGGATGGGGATGAGGAGAGTGGCAGGCCAGAGACGGGGAGGAAGAGGAGAAGGGTTGAGGGTGGTTCTGGGGGGTTTGTGAGGGGTGAGTTTGGGTTTCTTAGGGGCGCGGAGGAGGCTGGTGTTACTGTTCTTAGGGCGCCGAGGGGCATGAGTCGGAATAAGGCCAATGCGTCGAAGTGGATGCCTAAGTATGCTTTCCTTCTTGAGATTTGGGTTTGGGGTGAGCGTGGTGAGTGCTGACTGCAGTACAGGAATAAGTGTTTGAATTGGTCGGTGGAATGGATTGCCTCCGATGGAGAGAAGAGGATTAGACTCTGCTTGGAGTCGTCGACTCTTGCTGAGGCTTACGATCGGTCTTTTCCTTTGTCGAAGGAGGAGCGCGAACAGAAGAAGAAAGATCAGGAAAGCAAGTCGGAAGAAGTGGATGTCAATTCGTCTGAACAACTACCTGATACACGCGACCCTACTCCATCTACCGCAGAAGCTACGCCTCAGGAAACGCCTAAGGAAGCCGTGCTTCCCAACCCTGAAAGCGAGACAAGACCGGACATCACGCCGCAAGACCAGCCTACGCAATCCACAGATGAGATTACCTCCCACCGCAACCTCTACTTCTATCTCCATCGCCCGCGGACGAGTACGAAACAGCCGGTGCTTGTCCCTCTCTCGCCCACTGCCACTCTTACCTCCGCTCTGCGCGACCGCACCGTTCTAGAATTCCCGACTATCTATATACTGTCAGACTCACCGGATGCTTTGTCATCGGAGGAAGAGAATGCAAAGTTCCTTCTCGAGAAAGACTATCTACGCATGCAGCCACAAGGTGAAACCGAGTCGGGAGAAACCTCCGAGGCGGATGGCGAGCAACTGGCACCCGGGTCTGTGGATATCTCCAATGTAGATGAGAAAAGGGTCTTGGAGGTACTGCAAAAAGATCTATTGGAGCCCGTTTAGACCGCAGGATGTTGATGCTTGCGGAAATTGGTTATGAAGGAAACACTTATTTCAAACGGGACTGGGTTAACCTGATCTTGGTTGTCAATTGTTAATATTCAGTACCTGACTTCAGCAGTGGGCAACGGTTTAATAAAACTTATACGAGTGGGTCCAGTTTAAGCGGTTGACACGCGATGTAGACTGCGGCCAGCGGAAGAGATTTGGTCCAGATACGTAGAACGTCTCAACTCGTAGGATCGAGACTGTCTTCTTGTCAATATCACTGCTCCTATTGTCATAATCAGATAATCAAAACTAGTTGTAATACGAGAAACGCCAAATGCAAGGTATATATCGCTAGGTCCAGACCAAAATAGAATAATCTGCAAAAACAATCCATCCAAAGGGGTATCTTGTATACATATCCATCCAGGGCGCCGTATCATGCCTATCAATTCCAGTAGTAGGTTATGAGCCCCCGACTCAAGACTCAACTGTCAGTGTTATGTAAAGTATTGTGCTGCCTTGAGCAGGACGTCGCAGGTCACCAAGATGTCAGAATGGTCTATTCGTTCAATGTCAAGATGCGGCGAACCTCGGTATTTATACCAAAGGCCGTCCGCATCCTGCCATACCCAGGCTTGGGAAATGGAATGTTGCTACACGTCGACAGGGGCATAATGTCCCCTGTGTCGATCATTGTGCAACCAAGGAGCAGTGCTGCTATCACGCATCACACCAGAGAATGCTACCACTAAGTTAAAAGGTTCACAATGGGGGCATTCTCTGTTGTCGTGTTAGCTAGCGATGCATCTGCAACGAGATGCGTGCAGGACAAAGGTCGATCGTGATACGACCAGTCCGGTAAGGATAGAGCACCAAAGGCCCTTGTGCCCGTTAAGTGACTTTTGCATAGTAACTTGTACGGTAAAGTCACGTAGCAGGCAAGAGCCCGTGGTGCAAGCCTCCGTATTCTACCACTATATCGTGTTGACGATATCGTGATCAGGTCACTACGGACTAGTAGCATCGGACTCAGTAGCCGGAAGTTCAGGGTCATGCTCCTCTGTCTTGTCCGTTTTACCTGAAAGAGACACGATCTCCGTCGGGACCGTGTTCGGCAACGTCCGCGCATCATCGTCCTGCGCGCCATCGCCACCGTACCGGCCATTGCGTATGCTGGCTTTGGATTCTATCGGAGACAACTTCTCTCGCTCAGCGCGACCAGGCTTCAATCGGATGCGCCCACGTTCCAAAGCTCGAAGTAGGGTACCAACTTCCTCGGAAACAATGCTTCGCAGCTTACTCATAGCCTCGTCGGACACTTCAGAGTGGGCATTCCATCCAAGCTTGTCAGACTCATCCGAAGCTATCGATTTCGACTCCAGCGACGGCCCAGTGATCAGTCGGTGCAAAGCAGTAGGTGACACATTGTTGGGACGGCGTGCCATCTTCATCGGTTTCGGCTTCGAACCCGATGACACCGACGGCAAGTCTTCTTGTTGTCGCTTCGGGGGACGTGGAATATGGGCATTCGGCCCTTCTCCAACCTCGTTCCGAATCTTGTAATAAACCAAACCCAGTGTGGCAGCCAGTGCCTGGTGTGCGGCCTCGGGGTACAAGCGAACTGCTTCAGCACGAGTCAAATTGGACGGGTAGTCGCTGGAGTCGCTAGAGTCACTATCACTGACAAACAAGGCCTCTGTCTGGTGCATTCGACCCCAGTATTGGTAACCTCCAAGTTGATAAAATTCGGCCAACTGAACCAACCGGTTGACTAAATCCTGTTAGATATGCCGCTGGGTCATTCACCGTAGTACGACTTACTCCGACTGCGCTTCTTCAGGCACCAGAAGCGCCAGACAGTGCGAGGGAAATATTCCGGCCACTGCAGCGTGCCATCATCCTCGACAACGGGGACTGGGGTAATTGGGGCGTGGGTGGTATGGGCCAAGGAGTTGAAGCGGACGCGTTCCGAATGCTTCATGCGAGACTCAATCAGAGAAAAGCGGTCGAAGACCGAGTTCAAATGTCGTGATGTCTCATGTTGAAGAGTGATCAAATCAGTACGAAGTTGACTGATGGTCGCGTGTAGTTTGCTGATCTCCACCCGGCATCCACACACGTCCGTCTGAACCTGTTCGATGTCGGACTGGATTTGATCGATATTCTTCGACAAACGATCGACATCACTGCGTAAGAAAACGGTCTCGTTGCCGGTCTGGCCGATGCTCGACTTCAGTTGGAACACTCCCGACTTCAACTGATCCACGTCCGTCCTCAACGCGACCACATTTAGATCGATTCGGTTTGAAATGGAGCGATGGGCTTCGAATTCCCGACGAATATGTTCATCTTCCCGATTCCGTCGATCGACATAGCCGTCTTTGGTCAGGATAGTCGAACGTAATTCCAGAACACGGGAGTCAAGCAGGGTTAAACGGTCGTGAATGTGAGATAGGGCAGGGTCGGATAAGCTAGGCGGTGTCGTTTCATGTACAAGAGATAGTCTAGGGCTCGAGATGGGCATAGACATGCTCGAAGTGCGAGACAGACTCCGTTCGAGGGTGGCTGTCATGGTGGTGTGATGGGGAGGGACTGATATGGGTAGATAGGGATAAGAGAAGGGTGATAAATCGTGGTTAAATCGAGTTTCAATAAAGTCAACACCCCCTAAAGTCATTCAACAAGATATGAGGTCCATTTTGGCGATAGTTCGAATAATGATAGCGATGGGATGTGTGGGGTGATCGATGGTCGTGATGATGTTGTGGTATGAGTTGATGGCGGTTGCGAGATGAGTGAGAAAGACTCAACTCTCTCCTCCTTGACCCGTGACCGCCCCGTCCCCTCCTTCAACTTGCGTGGCAGACACGGGATGGCCCAATGCGGTCGGGACTGCCGGTCGATTAGCCCTAATCAAAACATTGCGAACACCCGTCCTTCAGCCACTGGTCCTTCTTCATAGGAGGAAAGCATCAAATAGTCTAATTGATTCATTAATGTTCATTGATTCCTAAATAACAGCTCTACCAGTGCCCAACACTTGAATCTCAAATGAAGCCCTGCTGAGACAAAATACACAACGCAAATCCTTCTTTGGTCAACAATACAAGCCGTGACAATACAATGAGATTAAATTTACCGCCGAGCTAGAGGCTTGGCAGCCGCACTGCATTCAGCTGACCACCTCCAAGCCAATGATTGACCAGTTCGTCTCTCACTTTGCCTTATCGCCACCCAAGCAGCCTCCTTTACTGGATGACAGAAATAGCCCAAGGCGTCATTGTGCAATCGGCCTGAAAGGAATCCCCCATGCCGTATTTGTATTTCCTATCTTTCAATGATCTCAAAGTCTGACCAGTTGACCCTGCGTACGATTTTACATCGACACCATGACCTAAAGTTGTAGTAGTAATAGGTGAAGAATAGGTGAAGAGAGGGTTGGGGAAAATAGATAAAGTGACCACAGAAAATATTAGAACATGCTCTAATTACAATAGAAAACCAATCTGAGTCGGCTTCTCATAGTACTACCGACACCACTTGGGCTGCGATCGTGCATTCAAACGTTCCCGTGTCCGAACATGATTCTGGGGGGACTCAACTTCCCATACAAAGTGGGCCACTTGGGACAACTACTTTATATAAGACAAAACAGTAATAGTGAGGAATAATACTCAAGCTACGTTAAATAAGATTAATGGAGCAAAGTATTAGTCGCTTATAGCAATGTATAAGCAGTTTAAGCAACGCAATGCTTTTATTGATGGAATTTATATATTTAAGATCGACTACTACCCACTCATCATACATTTCTGACCTAGAAGAATCTCAGTGATGGCCAAATTTTAGAAAGAGCCATAAAAGGTACATTAAAAAAAGAAAGAAAGAAAGAAAGAAGAAGAAAATTTAACCAGAACCTACTACATGAACAATGCCCCCCACTCTGGAAATAGCTGGAGTCTTTCGGTCATAGGCATTCGCCAACGGTCATCCCCTACATTTGATTGACAACCGTGCGCAAGTAAAGTTCGAGCAAGCTCAATAATTTCCCTCTTCCCCTGACTGAATCTTCTGTGTGCTCCATATACACCTCCCAGGATTTCATGCGTGTATTCGTGCAGAACATCCTCATATGCATAGAGCAAGGCATTGAGCGGAGTACCTTTGGTCGGAAACTGAAGATGAAGAGGGTTGCCCGCATCGCATCCAGCTAAAAGGAGCATATGGACCAGCCCTAGATCCCTGTTGCGGGCAGCATACCATAGCGCGGTCTGGCCGCCCCACGCTCTGTCGTTAACATCGGCGTCTTGGTCGTGGAGAAGGGTTACGATGCTCCTGGATCTCCGGTGCTCGATCGCATACATCAGTGGCGTTTGACCTTGTCCGTTTCGAAGGCGAAGATATTGTGGATACGTATCACCCTCACTGTCACCAACCTGCACGGCCAATTGCATTACTGTGTCCAAGACAGCGTGATCCGGGTTCAATACGGCGGCGTGAAGAGGAGTCTCCTTGCTTCTCGGATGTTGCGCCCGAAGAAATCGTCCGCCATCCCAACCAAGTTGAAGAACCTCGTCGAGCACAATATGTGGTTCATAGGCACAGATGCAAAAGAGACTTCGGCCTGGGACTCCTTCATTATAGGTGAAGAGTTTCCTGAAAAGCTCCATGTTCCCGACCTTCCATGCCAGCGTTATCGCCGTCTCCTCTTGCTCACCGTAGGCATTTGCCTTTTGGTCAACGTGAATCTTGTCTCCGAGGGATAAAAGGTAGTCCAGAACCTCCCTCGCCGATGTTAAGATGGCCACAGCCAAAATGCTGTACCCACAGAAGAGCATACCGTTCGGGTTCGTTTCAAGCGCGACTAGCATCTCAACTGCGCGGGCATCATCTCGAAGGAGCGCCAATCCAATTGACGATCTCGCCAAGGATGAATGTATGGGGTAGTCACACAGCTCTTGCTCAGGCCATATAGGGTCTTCCAATGGTCCAGGCTCGAAATAAGTAGGAGTCATTACCCCAGCTTGGACCAGAGGACCAATTAAGGTAAGAATTACGTTTCTGGCAGTCGCCAATAGCGAATTTGCTCCTTGCTCAGATGGAAGCTGAGCCCCAGGTGGAAGATCAGGGTTCATTAGACGGCGTAGTAGCTCTAGTTTCCCGTCATCATCACCCCATATGTCCAGCAACTTTTGTGCCACATTATCGGCGGTCAGTTGCTCTTGCTTCAGACGCCGGACACGCTGAACTAAGCCTGCAACGTGCGGAACTGATATCGAATCATCTTCTGTTTTTGTCGAGGGTTCACGTTGTCTTTGTGCAGCCGCTCGACGGTTCTGATGTACTCTCGCATGGTTTTTCAATGCTGCACCGTAATACTGTGGATGAAAGCGCCCGCAATGGACGCACTCGACGTTCTCCCTGCGCCTCGGCATCGTGTTTGATGTTGCACGTTTCTGAATATGAGGTCGTGTTTCAATTTGGACATTACGCAGAGCATAAGAGTAGGGACTCAGACAGGGAGTATGTATATATAAGACATTGGATTCTTCATTTGGCGTAGATATTTTAGGCCATATCAAAGATGTGTTCCAGAGACTATTGAAAGGCGCTGGGCCGTTCATTCATAGACTATGTTGATATGACAAAGAAGTACAATATCGGAGACCATAGGAATGCTATTATTGAGGCTTGTAGTGCGCCATTGTTAGTAAATGTTCCTTGTCACAATTGATTGTAGTTTTATTGTCAGTACCGTCTCGTTGTGTTCCCATTATGTTCTTATGGAGTCTAGACAATGGAGGCCCTCGCCACGATGGAAAGGACGCACCATCATACCCAATGGAAGATGGTTCAATAAGCTTAATTGAGGAGATATAGCATTGTATCTAGACAGTGTTACTGTTCCCCGACAGATGTCCAGAGAGACAATTGACTCTGTAAGGGAAGTAACACACAAAGGCGCACCTGCCGCAGTATCCATAACCCTAACGATATACCAACACATCCAAGTGAATAGAATAGAAACATGCGATATCTTTCAAACAATCAATACTACTATACCTTACACCAGACATTCCTTTCTATTATCATTTTCCACTAACAATGAAGTTCAAACATCTCGCCCTCCTCCCCAGTCTCTCTTTGATATCCACGACCACCGCCCTCCCTACCTCCAACCCACCATCAACAAACGACACCCTCTGCGACTGCTACATAATCTCCGGTCCGGACCCAGGCTACTTTACCAACTACCACTTCTGGGACTTTCGCAACATCCCTCTCCCAAATGCCACCCAACAACCGGCCCCAGCGCTCCTCGCACTAGACACCACGCTCCTCCTATCCAACACACCCTTCATCAACGACTGGCGCCCCCAAACCTGGACCAAAACGGGAAACACGGAGCTCCTCCCCATCGCCAACGCCGAAAAAAAACGTATTCATCGCCCCCAACCCTGACCCCCAGAGCCACGTCTGGCCAAACCCAACATACCTTCTCCTCCAAACAACCCGGCTCGCAGACTACGTCTCAACCGCCGAAATCGAGTTCCTCCGATGGAACATCCTGCACTGTTCACTCCGCGTGAGAATGAGACTCATGTCAAAGGAAACCGCCCTCGGCCCCAGGATCATCTACCCACCCACCCGAAAACCCGAAGACAAGGATTGGGGCAAAGGGAGTCGACGACCCGTGAGGCATAATACTGTGCCCAAAGGCGCTTGCGTCGGACTCTTCACGTACCAGTCCAAAACATGCGAGTCGGATATCGAGATCCTCACTTCTGATCCACCCAATGTGATCCATTATTCTAACCAGCCAGATTACGATCCCGTCTCGGATACGGCTATCCCCGGGGCGGGCTCCATGGTGAATCTTTCGGTGCCGTGGACGGCGTGGTCGACGCATCGCCTGGATTGGTTTCCTGATATCTCGCGTTGGTATGCTGGGGAGACTTTGCAGGCGGTTAAGGCTTATGGTGTGCCTCGGGAGCCGAGTACTTTGGTGTTGAACCTGTGGAGCGATGGGGGGAATTGGACGGGGAATTTGAGGGCTGGGGAGTCGGTGTTCTTGGGAGTTGAGTGGATTGAGATGGCGTTCAATGTTTCTTCCGTGCCTGGGGCGTCTGTTGGCCGTGGTGAGGGCTTGACGAGGTCGCGAGGTGGCGCGGTTCGGAGGGCTGATTTGGGGGATGTTGGCAGAGCTAGTAGCAAGACGTTAGAAGGTGATATCCCGAAGCAAAAGAATATATCCACAGGGGATGAGGTTGGGTGTCGAAAAGCGTGTTATGTGAGTGACTTTCATTAAGTTCTCCCGGCAGTCACTACGTCTTCATGGTCTTATAAATATTCAATCGACATCTTTACAACAGAGACAACAGTGCCTGTACAAGTATTCACATTGGTCTAGATTGTATCCACAGATATCTAGCACCCAAATCAACCATGTTCATGTCCATGTCCGTATCTCAATCCGTCCCCATGTCGCATGCTGTATGTGCATGTAAGCATCGAAAGCGATTTTCGCCGGGTAAACCCAATTCAATGTCATATGTCAGGAGCTTTGCTTCAACTGACGGGTATCACTCGTACATGTGCCAAACGCCGTTATGATCCCAAAACGAACTCTTACAATATGCCCATCCTATACTCTCACAGCCCCCAAACTCCACGCAATGCAAGACACAAAAAAAAGTAAAACGACAAACAAAAGACAACATAATACAACATCGATGGCTTGGTTTTCCTCCTCTTCCTCCCCTTCCCCCTACTGCCCCACCGGGAGGCGTTGCCCTAGAGCAACACCTCCCCGCCGGAGGCCGGATCGAAATCCCCCTCCAGCCCCCCGGCCATCAGCTCGGCCACTATCTTCTTGCGCAGCAGGACAATGTCCCGCGCGCAATAGGATAGTGGCTCGATGCCGATGGCCACCGCTTTTGCGGTAGATAAAAGGAACACCCCGCAGTCACTACCGTTGTCTTGCTGAGGAGAGACAGACGGTAGGACGCGCCATTCCTCCTCAACGTAACGAGGGCCCAATTCGTTACGGAGCCAGTCCTTCATCACCCCCACATGCCGGTGCGAGAGTGAGCCCAACGAGTCGAAATGCTCGATGGTGCGTTCCAACGGCTTGATCACGATAAGTGTCCAGTGTGCACTGTTGTGCACTGGGACAAACACGGTATCCACGTCAAGAAGAGATGCGCCGCCAATCTTGGCACGATTCGCCCAGCGTCGGACAGACTGGTAGCCTTTGTCGCGCATGTTGGAGAAAAAGAAAGTATTGAAAGCGTGGAACCGGGGTTTGTCGCTACGGCCGTTGTTGTGATTCGTGCGGCGCAGATAGTCAACGATTAGAGCAAGGTACGAGTTGATAACCTCATCGTTCAGCCACGCCATGGGAGTAAAACACGTAGATAGATCCTTCTTCGTCAGTGGGTCCCCAGCCAGAGTAGTGGCGATGCGGCGGTTGCTGTTTGTGGCCATGGCGTTGGATACTCGGCTCATCCACTCCCCTGAGAGAGGACGTACAGCTGGGCCTTCAACACGAACTCGAGCGGGGCTTTGCTTGCGCTTCTCCTCCTCTTCGATCTTTTTCCACTCCTCAGCATAGACAGACGCCGTCCGGCCGGGCGGAAGCGGCTTCACCTCGGGGTAAAACAGGCTCACAGCCGAGACGGGTCGTCCAAGTGGATGCTCAATCTGTTCTTCCCACCAATGTCCGCCGAGTCCAACCTGCTCATCTTCAATCTCGGTTTTTACCGCCGAACTAGCAACTGGCGGGACATTCTCCTTCTGTTCGTTGGGCGCCTTTTTAGAACTAACGCGGTCGACATTGGGGGACGTGGGATGGAGGTATGGCGCAAGGTCAGGGAGAGTAGGTTCCGGGATAAACTGTTCAATCGGATCCTTGAAGCGCACTCGCTTCTTCTGTTTCGGCTTCGCCCCCTCTTTTGGCGCGGGCTCGCCTAGACGTTCGGTGCGTTCGGAAAGTCCAATGTGGGTGGATACGCGAGGTCCCTGGTCCTTCAACACTTCGCTGAAGTCCCCGGTTTTCCATGCTTTTTGTAGCGCAAGTTCGCGTTTGCCACGCTCCAGGTTTCTGCCTGGCCACAACCGGCGTTTCAGATTGGGGCTCATAGACTTGACCTGCGGAGACTTCTGGACGCCTATCGGTTTCTTAATTCCACTATTAGCCCAGTGGTTCCCTGTACTCTCAGGAGATCGGCTGCCACGCCTTCGAGGATCTCTCGCAGAGTTTGCGGCGTGTGACATGAAGAAAAAATCATTTGGCATCCCCATGAAAGATGAAGATCCAGTAGTCGGAGATTGTGGAATGTCCAGAGTCAAATCTGGAAAAGGAAGATTCTGTACTGCGGGATAACCTCTCTGTCTGCGTCTTTCGTGGTCTCTAATCATGCGTCTCTGTTCCTCGGGGAGGCGACGAAGTGCTGCAACTCGTGACGGAGAAGCTCTGAGGCCTGAAGAGCGGCTGGAAGGCTGCGGACGGCGACGACGTTGTACGTAGTCAATCACGGGCTGCCCTATCATATTCCAAGTTTTGGTAAGAACGTTCTTGACAGTTCCGGACGCAGCGTAGGCGCCTTGAACAATGGTGTAACATGTTGCCCAGTATGGGCGTAGCATATGCGGAATCTGCCTATTGTAGAGGTCACTGTCAAGTGTATCAACTGCTTGCATCCGCTGATCGCCCGCATTGCCAGATTCATCAGCAGCAGCGTTGTTTGAGCCACTGGAGTCAGGAAGAGAGGTGGTAGGAGATGGTACGTAAAGTGCACCCGTCATGAGAGGCTCTTCCCCTAAGCGCAATACATCAGTGACGGAACCCGTACCGAGTGCTGCAGTGGCAGATAAATTATCATGAGAAGGCTGCTCAGGCCATCCACCAGGAATAAGGACATCAGCACTGCCGGGATGACCAATCTGGTCAGTAACGTTTGTGCAAGTAGGCAAATGACTGTCGACCGCGAAAGCGATAGGAGCGGTCAAATATTGAAATTGCGTAGAAGCATCGCGGCGGACGGGAAAGGTAGCGGTCGGCACGGTAGGTTGTTCCTGGATCGGATATGCAGCTTTGGTTGATGGCGCTTCGGCTCTCTGGGTGTCTTCTTGACTTGTAATAGCGGAATTTGGGAATCCTTCCTCGCTAACCCGTCGATATTTGTTCGACGGACTATCCGTCTCGGCGGTAGTACGGTCAGTCGGTTCATTGAAGCCATCATCGACAGATCTCTTGCGAGAGTTGAACGAAGTCGCGGTAGTAATCGACGTGTTCGACTCAAAGCTAGGAGTTTTGCGGTCCCAAATGGACCTGGTGGTCAAAAGGCTATTGAAAGATGAATCACGTGTGGTGGGAACGCTTGTTCCAATGGTCACTGGCTTATGAGACAGGGACTTGAATATGTCGTTCGAATGAGAGCTGTATCTGTTGGTCGAGGTGAATGTATTTGCTTTGTTATACAAATGGCCGATTACGTTGTTCGTAGCAAGAGTATTTCGGAGGAAAGGCTGCGCGATGAACTGCTGCTTGAAGCGGCCGGTCGATGGGTCAATTCGCGCCTGCGGTGAGAATCGCGTCAAAGGTCTGATGATTGGAGCTCGTGTCACCGGCTTTCCGTCGAGTCTGGTGGCTTTGGGCACACCACCACTCTTTGGAGGAGTAAAATGAACCCAGTAATCAGGCCTGGAGACGTTCTGGTCGGAGGTCATGCCTATGGGCGGGGCGATGTGCCGTGACTGCTCGTTTGAGGGAAGAGGGCTGATATCCATGGGGTCGTAGTACTGCTCTTCGCTCCCCATACGGGTGTCTTCTGTATCTGTCACACTCATGGTCGTGTCCTCCATCACGCGTTGCTGGGTCGAGAAGACGCCAGCCATGGTGGATTTGAAATCAGGACGATTGGGAAAAGTAGGTACGGTTATCAACGTGGAAAATTTTGAAGCGCGTTGTAAGCAAGAAAATCGTGTAGTGAGAAGGCAAAAGATGATGATGAACAGAAGAAGTATTAAGATGTCGGTGGAAGTGGTGAAGAGATGAGGGAGGGGGAAAGCAAAACAGATGGGATCGCAATTACTGGCCATGGGTGGTTGCCATGGTTTTTATTGAGGTCGCAACAGTCGCTGGAGTGAATGGCAGCTCCATGAGCGTGCTCCGTGTGATAAACAGATGGCAGGCTGGAGAGGCGCAAAATGAGCCTTCCCACCGGCGCGCAATCTGGAGAAGTGAATTGATGGAAAGGAAGTTAAAGTAGTTCCCGGCATGGTTTAGACGCCCCGAAGCTCACCCACGCTTTCCCCCTTTGGGGACTTCACGTGATCTGCCCCGTCGACAACATTTAAAGCGATCTACAAGTAGCTCATGAGTATACCACGAACAGTTCTTCTACCATTGAAGACACAATTTCAATATTCTGGCCATTTGCTCCTCTGTATATAATCGAGGCCTCACTCAATTCGAACCTCCGTAGGCCCCCCCAATCTCTCTTCAACGCGTAACCACACCAACAAATGGGAACAAAGAAAAACAAAAAACAGGGGGGAAAAAATACATAACGCATCAAAGTCATATATGTACACCAGAAGACCAGCTATGGTACAGAAATAATAATGACTCGTGACGTTCAGCCAGCTGAACTCGAATCTCACTCTCAGCTTATCTTTCAGATGGCTTTAAATCGGCGCAAGGCCAACTCTGTCAAACACAAAAGGTGCCCCCTCCATCGCAATCCAAGCAATACCTAGACAGCGTAAGCCAAGGTCCGAAAAGGGTAGGAAAGGGTAAAGGAATCATATACCGGAATATACCACCAGCTTCGTAACCACCTCCACATCGTATCGTACACGAGGTTTCTTAATCCGCGCAAACATCTCTTCTTCGTCCGGCTCGGGGTCAGGAACGAAATCAGGGAATGGCTCCGTCAATGGAGGTGCTTCTGCACCATCAACGCCAGTTGCAATTCGAGGGTTACCAGTCCCCATCATGGTTTCATATTCATGGAGTTTGGAGCGCTTCCGCGATAGTTGATGTTGCCCTTCGGAGATGTCCTGCTGGGTATCCTCCTCTACGAGAGGCGACGTTCGGTTGCTATTTGACAGGCTCTCTCGCCTGCGCTTTTCCCGATAGGCCAGGGTTTCGTAGGCATCAGCTTCCGATTGAGGACCGATAGAGATTGCTCGTCGTCGGGGGTGGCGGATATTCGAGAAGATAGACGGGATTTCGGAAAAGGTTGGGAACACTTCATGATCCTTGAGTTGTGTGGGAACTTTGCTGTATTGCCTGGTTCTACAGTGAGCCAAAATAACCCGTATTGGATGGAGACAAGACCTGACTTACGACGCTGCGGTAAAGAATCGTCGAGGAAGTATCAGACCCAACTTTTCCAGACCACGAAAGACCGGGGGGAGTAGGCGGAGAAGAGAGGGCTTCATAACCTCTCTCCATGCAACAATCAATGCCACTCCCAATATGAGGCGCATAGCTGTCTTCAACACCCCTAACTCGTGAAACTTATACGGAACAGTAGCAGGCACGGGGTCGTCCCACGTGATGCTCGTTTTCGCTACGTGCCAATAAGCCACTTGCAACCCAAGTATCACTCCCGCAAAGGCAACACTGTCATCGAAACAAGGACAATCATCGGCGGGCTCCGGATGAAGACGAACAAGAGCTAGGATCACTAATACCACCAGCGTGATCTGTTTTCCGGAAGCCGAGACTACAAACTCGTCGAAGGCGGCCCCGTAGGCATATTGTATTACTGCAAGCAAGGTTCCCAGCAAACAGCCAATTATCACATCGAAAAACCCGTGCATACCGCAGTAGAGTCGGCCGAACACAATCGAGGTAACATAGAGGTAAGTTATACCTTGTAGAAACACGTTGACGGCGGGGCTCAAGGTCGAATCGGGCATGTTTAGGAGAGCCAGTGCGTATACAGCGACTGAGACGGCATTCGTCGAATGAGTCGAGGGAAACCCATACTCCAACGCAGCAGAACCAGACATGGTAATACGCTGTAGCGGGGGCGATAGTGGGCGTGGGAGGCAAAGCAAGTCTTTGATAAAACCGCTAAAGAAGACTCCGGAGGCCAGAAGATTTACCATACTAACCAGTTAATACTTTTAGCCAATGTAATCACAGGTCCACAGCGCAGCGCACTTGGAACTGTCTCGGGCCCATGTACATACCCACGCCCTAAGCTTGTATACCCATGCCAGAACAGTATAGGCAAGAAAACCATGAAAAATGTATGCGTTCCGAGATTGGCCGTAAATGCGAAGTAGGAGTCTAGGGCCGGAGTCCGTACCTTCTCCTGCAACCAGGCCAGATATGGCGTCTCATATCGCACCAAGGGGAGAAGTTTCTGTCGTGGCCAGTACCGCCAGGATGGGAGCTGGTTCCGATCTATCCCCAGCGCACCGTTAGCATGTTGACGCGCTGAACGACCATCAAGTCAAATAGGGATTGCGACGCACAATGATTAAGGCTTCTCAGGCCAGCATCTGGTGTGCCATTTGGTCCCTTGTCCATGTTGCCGGCGGCGTTCAAATCACAGTTGACGCTATCGTTGCGGTCTCCCCATAGATCCCACGGAGGGTCTGCTCAGTTCAATGTCTCGACGCCGATGACAATTTCGTGGAGAAAACCATTCGGAAGCACGAGAGGTGCAGGATTTTCAGTAATTGTCCCTTGTCCACTCGGCTTCAATCAGGGGGAAGAGAATGACAACAGCAGATCGATTTTGGATTAGTCGGGGAAATTGTCCCGCGCTATCCAGCGGTTTGGTTCTTGGGCGGTCAATGCGATTTGAATCGCACGGGGAAGTAAAATTGCTACCAATACAAAGTAGGATGCTACGTTAGTGCTTAGTCACCCCTAATTGGCCCGATACGAGTACAGAGTGGATAATGCATCCTTTCGGTGATTTCTTTTCTATCGCTCGACATGAGGCTTTTTATGCCAACGGAAGACGGAACATGAAGAACCGCCGAAAGAAATCTGGGTCCGGAATTCCTACGGGTGCTCTCTTTCTGCATTAATCTGAAGGACTCGGTGCAATGTATGCTCAAGTGGATTCAATATCAAAATAATCCAAGGGAACGGGTGTTTTCTTTCCCATTATTGGTCGGCTTATGATCAGCCTTCAGGAACCTCGGCAGATTGAAGCGCATACACAGTAGAAAAATAAAAAATAAAATAAACTAAAAGTGTCACTCGACCGCATCCCCATGTTCGTCTACGGCCGACTCTCCAATATATATATCTTCCTGGTCCACACACGCACACAAACACACTCATCCATGTCTTGTCCAGCACTGAGTTACATACATACATACATACATACATTGGGTACGAACGAATTAAATTGAAAATAAAGAACAATAGGTTAAACGAAGTCGCTAGAGAACATCCCTCCGGTGAATTGTTTCCACGTGATGGTTCAAGCTTTCTGGGAGATCTTCCATATGGACAGACCATGGTTAATCTCGTAAGGAATGCTTGTTCGTGTTATTATACCCAGAGCCCTCTAAAGAGAATGTTATTGTAGAGACAAAGTCAATATGGACACAGCCTATCAAATCAATCAGAGACCGAATGCTGAATTATGTTGGTAGAGGACTGAATTGTCGACGTGGAACTTGGTTCCGATAAGGCAGATCTCCCAAACGGGAACACTATTGAACCATAATAGATCTCTTGTTAGCAAACGCGGGAGAAAAAGAAGTCACTCGTAGACCTTCCACATTAGGTATCGAAATATAACGTGATTAGAGACTTTGATATCTTTTTCGTCTCCAGCATGCTCGGTACTCTCTCAGGCTACCCCGAGTGCGTGACGATCGTCGGGCGAATTCGAGTTGGTTGGTGCCGTAATGAGCCACACACATTCATACGACCATACTACATTGCAACAAGTGGCAGTGGTGTGGGGACATTGGGTAATTGGGTACAGAAGTAGGGTAGGATTGGCTTGAAATTTCTACGACGGTAGCCGTGCATGATTCGTCTCTGTGACGACAGATGACAGCTGGGTCGAAGGATCCAGTGTTTTCCTGTCCCTCAAGCACACAGTCGTCAACGGAGTACTCCGTAGTAGGGGCATACTATTAGACCAGACCCGCCAGGGTAAATCTAGGCCGAGATATTGGCCAGTGTCTAGATTGCATAATCGGTGATCGCGGGCCAATCGAGACACTAAGCAGAATCAGCCTTCACGATCGGAGCCGCTTTTAGGGCACGGGAGAGTGAGAACAAGGTTACTGATAGGGTCGACCTTGGAAGAAATCCAAGAAGATCAAGGTGTTTGGAAGGTGTGGCCCAGACCACAGGCCAGGAATGCCTTGATTTGAGTGATTGATCCAATCACTCGAGTGACGTTGTGCTAAAAAAAGGTTCAATGCGTTGGGGTGTGGATTGATTTGATTGATATTGATTTGACTGCGTCATGGCCTGGGCAAGTGGTTGCCATGGCACCGCTTCGGCCCGTAAACATCGGGTTTCATGTCAGCTGGAGGAGCGGCCACGCCACACCTGCCATTACTTGATCGGACTACCACAACTATCGTGAAACTTGACATCTCTTTCTTTTTTTTTCCCTGTACCTAGACTGTAGCCCTTGATCTTCGACTTCTTTTTTGTTGTTATTTTCTCGCCATTGTTTTTCTCGATTTCCTTCAACTCCGTCCCGACCATCATCCTCACCTTATCACAGAGCCTATCGACTGCTGGAAACCGAATATTTCCGGGACACCTTTAAACCGGGCAGTGGATCTATCTATACGCAATAGATCAGAAGGGCAGTTCCATTTTCGGCGCCACCGAGCACCACGTTCTTCAAAAATCTCCTAATTCAATCTCAGCCCTCTTGCCTCCGCCATCATGTCGAGTCATATGTACGATGACCAGCCCTATGCAGTGTCACGACGTCATTCGGTAAAAACACCTCCTCCTTCATCCACGCCCCGGCACAGCAGAGGGCGCAGCCAGAGCGTCCGCGTGAGCAATGGAACTGCCAGCACAAATACTAGCATCTCAAGTGGGAGGATGTCGGAAGCGACGAATATCACTCAACCACCGGCATACTCGAAAAAGTTCGTTGTGGTGGGAGATGGTGGATGTGGAAAGACATGCCTCTTAATTAGTTACTCACAAGGGTATTTTCCGGAGGTAAGGCTCTTTATCTCCCTCGAATGTTACTGAACAGCCTTTCCGACCGCTGTTCTGACCTGCACTAGAAATACGTCCCGACAGTTTTTGAAAACTACATCACACAAACCGTCCATCGGGCCTCAGGGAAGACGGTCGAACTTGCCCTCTGGGATACTGCAGGCCAGGAGGAGTACGACCGTTTGCGCCCATTATCCTATCCGGAGACTGATTTGCTCTTTGTTTGCTTTGCTATTGATTGCCCCGCCTCTCTAGAAAATGTGATGGATAAGGTATACCTCTTTGGGATTATTTATATGATACATGACACTGACTGGATATAGTGGTATCCTGAAGTCCTGCATTTCTGCCCTACGACTCCGATCATCCTGGTTGGGTTAAAGTCCGATTTGCGCAACAAAAGGACTTGCATTGAACTCCTCAAAACCCAAGGACTGACACCAGTGACCCCGGAGCAAGGTCAGGCAGTGGCTCGGCGGATGAATGCCTCGTACATTGAATGTAGTAGCAAGGAAATGCGCGGTGTGGACGGGGTATTCGAAACGGCTGTTGACACTGTTGTGTCGGCTGAAGAACAGTTTAGCTGGAACAACCGCCAAAGTCATAACACCAGTGGTAAAGCTACTGGAGGTGGCGGTGGTCCCAAGAAGGTCAAGAAGCGTACATGCAAGATCTTGTAGACCGCTTTTCTTCTCTCTCGACGTGTCCCATGCCCCCCTCTCTGTTTTTGTTTGATATGCTCCTGTTTTCTGCCGAAAGAAGCCTGGTTGCTTCGGCGGTTTGCTTCTCCTTGTACGCGATATGAATTGGATACGACCGGGAGAGGATGGCCCACGCAGTACAACCCATTATGTGCTTTTCTAAATGTTTTGTTAACGGCGGCCTTTTGATTTTACATTTTCATGTTGCTATACCTGTTTTGCCTTGATGATTGTCTCCATGAAACACTATTACCCTTCCTTTATATCCACTATTATTTGTCTGTGACCACCTTGATTTTTTCAAATTGGCATGTTTTCCTCATGATGTCTGTCACGAATCCGGTCCGAGGACCACTATGTCATATGCATGGGGTGGGTGTTTATTGGCGCTGAGTCTCCCATGTCACTGAATATAAAAACACTGTGAACCCCGAACGATGTTTCTGCCTTGTAGTTTGATAATATATCATCTAGAAATAGAGAGTAAATAATACACACGCCTGAATTTGAACTCCAATACACCAAGCCATGCACCGAACATATTCTGGATCATGTCTCATATCTTAACCGTCGATTTCGCTCCTCTCATCAGAGATATCGTGTTCATGCAGGTCGCTCTGGTCTTCATGAGGCTCCTCTTTCTCCTTTACACCACCTTCTGCCTTCTCCTCCGGTCGTCCCATAAAGTTCTCAAATTGAGACCAGAGAGCTTCGACGGAGCTAAACTCATTGCCCACCTATACAGTTGGGCTTAGCCAGTTGTATGTACATGGGAGTCGAAAGATACAACTTACCGCAACAATACTTTCTAGATTTCGGTTCAACCGGTTGATATTTTGCAGAACTTGTTCCATTCCCTGCGCAGATCGGTCAATTCAGGTATGCTCTTTCGATGCTCAAAGCACTGTGAGCTGTCCGAGATTGTACAACCTACCACGGCGATGTCTCTCACCAGTTCCTCCCGCTGCTGTTCGAACACCGTGGGGGTGGACGATCTGGATTTCGAACCTGGTGTCATGGACATTCTCGTTGTGGTGGACAAATTTGTGATAGTTTACGGGTGTAGGGATCAATATAAAAGTACGGGGACGAAAAATTGACTGCAGATCCTCTCAGTTACGTTGATTCAGAATTATTCGCACTTCCAACGCAGGTCATTAACTCACGAATCGCCAACCATCATGTGGCGCATGAATGATTGTGGGACTGGCCTGATTGGGCATGGTGCAAACAATGCGCGTCCTTTCTGCCGCTGATTCAGTGACCGCTCTGCCCTCCGCCTTTTCAGTTCTCATCATCAATTTACGGGACAGCACCTGGCACCTAGTAGTCCATACTAGATCTAGCATAACTCACATGGAGTGTATACTTATTATGAGTGGTGCCTTGTGCGTGCCTTGAAGCGCGGCTGCGGCGCTCAAGGATTACCTATTATTAACTTCTTAAATTCTCTCTTTGCTAGTATGCTATGCAGCTTACAGACTGACACTATCGGGTACCAAGTCTGGCGCCCTGATCTGGTGTAACATAGACCTTGTAGGCGAGGGACAAAGGGAACCCCTGGACAGGTGTTAAAAAGTAGACTATCATCTTCTTATGCTGTATGGTAGGCCCTTGGTGCAAGGCCGCTAACGGATTTCTCTACCTGTCCTGGTTTCAACGCTCGCTTTGTATACATCGAGCGCGATGGCCCTCTCCATTGGAAATGCACAGCTTCTCCAGGCAGAAATCGATGAAACTGACCTTAGTTTCTTCCGACTTTCAGTCCATGGAAGTATTAAATATCTTACCATTGAGGGGAACATTTTCTCAACCACTGATATGGCTTTCGGCCCATCTCTAAGATCTCTACTGCCAGAGTTTCCACCTGGAGACTGGAATGATGGGCTGATTGCCAAAGACAAGAGTACCGGGAAGCCATATTTTGCACGCGCTGTCCGGAACATATTTCCGGGTGTCAAAAACCAATGGCATGAGTACTCGGTCGACTATTCAGATATTAAAGTGGGAAAGAGGCTTCGGACTGGCATCTACGAGGCTCGATGTCCGGGATTTGACACCGTTGTCGTCGTCAAATTTGCTCGCTTCCACTGGGAGATTCGATACATGGAAAGCGAGACAACAGCATACGAGTGGATAAAGGGCCACAACATTGGCCCACGATTTTTGGGTCACCTGGTCGAAGATGGTCGCGTAATCGGGTTCTTGATGGAACGAATTTTCAATGCTCGACATGCAGTCTTAGATGATCTCGAGGCTTGCTGGGATACGTTGTCGCGGTTGCATGCCCTGGGGATCCGCCATGGTGACACGAATCGATTTAATTTCTTGATGACCGACTCGAGGGCTGTTTTGATCGACTACGATACTGCTCAAAAGTGTGACGATCATGACGTGCTTTGCGAGGAGCTTGATGGTCTTGCTGAATCGCTAGCAAGTACATCCCATCGAGGCGGAGGGGGTTTGCTCTGAGAGGGATATGAGATCATTAATTGGGTTACTATTCGAGAGACTGGCGTATATGGTATTCATGTCTCTTTCGTGGTATGAGGCCTTGTCAACGTCCACCATGTAGAACCTGTTTGACTGTGTTGAAGATGTATCTCTCACATGATGTGAGCTAAGCTGCTTTCAGAAAATGTTTATCTACGCGGCGGCTCCTGTTCTCTACTGCCATAGTACTCTACTTCGAGATACGACGATGTCAAATGAAAATCATGTCCGCCGTGATGAACACTATCCATATGTGTTTTCGTCTTTCACCCCCTCAGAAGCCCCTGCCCAGGTAAGCATCCATTCTTACGAGGATCGCTTGGTGCTTCGTTGAATCGAGAAAGTAAGCGATACTTATGCACGCGAAGACCCACGTTAATTAAGGGAAGCGGGGCGACGCTCTGCATTGATTGCATGATTTACGCCATGACATGGAGAGCTCTCTCTTCGCTGCATTGGAAAGTTTTGCTTCGCGCTTGAATATCACAATGCGCCCAGACAGAGCAGGGGGGAAAGGATGGAAACCAAGATCTTGACTATGATACACGACTATTGTTGAGTGCATCAGGGCGAAAATGGTAACCGGCCGTCCAGATTGTCCATCCCAAGGCAGCAAGATTTAATATGCGAATACAACATTGCGTGTAGCAATGAATCGGTGTTGAAAAGTGGTGCTCTAGATTCTCGGCTGGTTGACAGGATTTAGCGACGATGTTGCGTGACTAGGCGGAGTATACAGATCAGGATGCAAGCCCTTACCCTTACCGCTTACACTATACTCCGTTTCTGCAGGGATTTGTTCCAAAGTACGCCTCGATTGCTAACTATACTGAACTTTCCTCGAAAAACTGAAGCTCTGATTATAGGTGTAGAAGCAACAGTGGGCACTACCGGGATGTTACGCAAGCAACAGCCTTAGCAAGTTAATTGCAAAAGGTCCGGTATTGTCTGTTGTCGATGTTGTTATAGTGAACTAGTGGGACTGGGATGCTGGCACACTTTGGGCCTTGTGCATGATCAACGTACCTTTCGGTGACGGCACGTCCCGCCTCCCACGGACGCATTGAGCCAGGAAATCAAAGAGCATATCCGCCTTCCATGACTAGGGAATGAAGCTGGCTCCTTCTGTTAGTATCTTCTAAATTCTTGCTGTGAAGCTAGGCTATATTTTGCGAAAATGTCTACCCACGACAACTCGCATTCCACAGAGCTTACTTCCACCTCCCCGCAATTACCATTTCATGAATACGTTGAGACAGATGATGTGAGCACCTGCTCGATCCCTTTTGTAAGTCGTACAGTTCTTTAACCTTACCTACAGGTATCGTCTGATGTGGGAGACCTATCTTATGAAGAGGAATGGTTAGTACAAGGCCAACGATTAGGCAAGTTGATGTTAAAATATTGGGCATAATAGCTCGATCTACACAACAAGTCTAAGTTCGAGCGTCTTCGCATACAAATTTGAGCATGACCGTCGTTACCACGCATACAGAGATGAGAGTGAGTTGCCAAAGAGGCCAATGTTTACTGGGTTCAACCTTAGCATCAACTAACCATAGATTGCTGAGATGTCGGTAGAGTACTATCTCCCGAACGATGATGTACGTTGTGCTTCACACTGTGTAGAAGCAAAACAGGTCAACTACTTACGTAGATAAAATAGGAAGAGAAAGGCCGTCTCGATCTTTTTCACCATATTTTAACTCTTGGTTGCAACAACAAACTCCACCTTGCACCGATTAGCGCTAATGTCGAAGAGATTCTGGATTTAGGAACTGGCACCGGGATTTGGGCTATAGACATGGGTATGCTTGGTTTCTGAGTATCCCATCCTTTTCGTGGCTTTGTGCTAAGCTAAACTCGTCTAGGGGATATATATCCTTCAGCAAAGGTGAGATCGACCTGGTTGGCCTAGATTAGGACTGAGCCCCTCTGAGCTGATTGTGCGTAGATTTTGGGCAACGGTCTTAGCCCCATACAACCTACTTTGTATGTGAGATCGTGCCATTCATAACAATGATACATCTAAACTGACTGGATAACTTACAGAGTCGCCCCTAATGTGAGGTTTGAAGTGGATGATGTAGAGAATGATTGGGTTTACCGCTCAGAATTTGACTATATACACGCTCGCTACTTTGCAGAAGCGATCAAGGATTGGCCGAACCTATTACGCCAAGCATTCAAGTACGAGATACGCATTTTCTTTGGTTACCCGTCCGCATGCCTATACGGGCACTGGTGCGGCGATAGGTTCACTAAACCAGGGGGCTGGGTGGAGTTCCAAGATTTCGAAATGCAATTCTACACGACTAACGGGGAATTCAAGACCGGCTGTCCGTTAGAGAAGTGGTGTACTGAAAGCATTGAAGGCCTACGGTCTGTTGGACTGGAACCTTCTCCTGGCCCCAAATTACAACAGTGGTTCAAGGATGTCGGATTTACCAATGTACAGCAGAAGGTAGTGCCCGTGCCGGTGGGAGTCTGGCCAAAGGGCAAAAGACTGGTATGCATCACGATGTCTCTCTTAACGGTAAAAGACTTTTTGGTAATAGTTCTTTGTAACAGAAAACTGTAGGCGCTCTTAATTACCACCAATTCAATGGCGGGCTGGATGGCATGTCGCTACGTATATTCACAGCTATGAAGGGCTGGCAGCCGGAAGAGCTACGGGAATTTCTAGCTGATGTGAGGGAGGATCTTAGAAGCCCTCGACTACAGGCACAGCATAATTTGTAAGTACGGCGACTTGTCAACTTGTGATCTTCGTCTGACCCTGGCCTTAGTAATGTGGTGTATGGACAGAAACCAGAATGATTTCATCATCATCGCCTCCATAGAAGAAAACAAAATAGAAATACTGAAGGAACAAACGAACGAAGATGCACCGGTGTATCCCTTGTCAAGATTCTACGGGTTCAAGTGTTGTGAGGTCTTCGCAGCGCATGATTATTATTGATATTGGCCACTTTCTAATATTCCAGATGCAACTCCTGTCGAATACGAATAATACGAAGAGTATCTGGAATAGAAGCTCACAACCTCGGTGTCAGATAGTCCGGTTCAGAATTAGCAAGCTGCAGAACTCCAGGTTTCCCCACAATGTCTCTCTCTTGACTAGAATGGTATCCGTTTACCCCACTTCAGGCCCGGATTGTGGAGAAAAGCTGGGGTCAGAATGACGCTGTACTGCGCCGGCCCCAGGCAGAAGGAGTGTAGATCAACGCTCGGGTTTTCCGAGCATGACGATCACCATCTCGGTGTTGTGTTTGCCGGCCCATTCTAGGCTATTCATAACCCAAATGCTTGGCTATGATGAAAAATATTCATTAAGGGAGACTTTCTCTCCCCTTTAGCACTATCGGGGTGTAGCTCAAAACTTCAACAATGCAAACACGCCTTCTTTGTTTGGCAGCCCTGCTGCTCCCACAGTATGGACTGGCAGTCGATGACCAAGTAGGAGCGAAGATCGACTACGGCACATTCGAGAATCCCGCCGCTAGAGTTCGTCCTCGCTTTCGTTACTGGCTCCCAGATGCCAGTGTAGATCCGGCTATTGTTCAAAAGAATATCAAGGAGGCCGGTATAAATGGTGCTGGAGGCGTGGAGTTTCTTCCCTATTATGACTATGGTAATACTGTCCCAGGTGCGGATTGGGTCACCTATGGATTTGGGACGCCCGCGTTCGTCAAGATCTTCAAAGCTGCCCTCCAGGCTCATAAAGATGCTGGTTTGGTGATGGACTTCCCTTTGGGACCGAATCAGGGACAAGGCGTACCAGCGAGTCCCGATGATGAAGGACTCCAGTGGGACTTAGTAGGTACTTCCGTTACAATGCATAATCATAATGTGTCCTAACATGCGCGTACGTAGTCTACAGCGTCGATCGCTGTTCCTCTGAATGGATCATTTCATAGACAGCTCCCTGGCTGGGGCACTGGGGAGCTGGTAGCGTTGGTTTCAGCTCAAGTGTTATCGAGTCGAAATATCTCGAATCCTACAAATAGCTTGATTCCTGGCAGTGAAGTTCAGCCCAGCGCTGTACAGTATGTGTTAAAGAATTCAACCTTGCAAGAGTGGTCACAGAACGTTACGTCCATGGGAGAGGTGAACCTGAGTTTTCCTAAGACAGGCGGCCAGGGATATAGGCTATTTGCCTTCTACCAACACCGGACGTTACATCAAAATGTACCGAGTACTTCTAACATGTCGGGGACAATCTTCAACGGTGGATCATATGCTGTTGACCATTTCAGTGCGAGGGGTGCGGAAACTGTTACTCGATTCTGGGATGAGTATATCCTTGAAGATGAGGTCAAACAGATGCTCGTTGCAGTCGGTAATTATGGTAAGTTGATTATGCCTAGAAATCGAGGAAGAGGTAAGGCTAACTATGCGCAGGCTGGGAGGATAGCATGGAGATCAAGTCAAATGTGTCCTGGACGCCGGATCTTCCTAACATCTTCCAGAAGAAGCATGGCTACAACATTAAGAAATATCTGCCACTTATAATTTACAAGAATAACAACATCGGTATACAATCGACCGCCCCTGGTACTATCCAGTGTCTGCTAGATACTCCCGATCAGGGGAGTGGGTATATCAACGACTATCGGTCTGCGTTAGTGGAAGGGTACAGGGCATATTTGCAGGGGTTGACACAATGGGTGAATGGCATGAATCTCCAATACTCTTCCCAAGTGGGCTACAACCTCAATATCGATGTACTAGCAAATGTTCCAGATGTGAATGCGCCGGAATGCGAAAGTCTGGGATTCAGTGACAGCGTCGATGGATATCGTCAATTCGTTGGACCCGCAACTCTCGCCGGCAAACGTGTCATCTCCAATGAAATGGGTGCAGTCTTCGACAAGGCATACCAGCATTCAGTTACAGCGCTTTTGTGGGAGATTGCTCGGGCTGTTGCTGGAGGTGTCAACCAGTTCGTCCTTCACGGACAGACATTCTCCGGAAACTATGTCGGTACAACGTGGCCGGGTAATACACCATTCTACTATCTTTTCTCTGAATTATATTCTGAAAAACAGCCTTCTTGGAACCACGGCTTTTCGGAGGCGTTGAATTATGTGGCCCGACTGCAGTATACGCAGCAGAAGGGACAGTCTAAAGTCGATGTAGTTATCTATAACAAGGACTCGGCTACTGATGCACAGTTCGGGACGATTTACAACGAGACCGATTTAATTGAGGAAGGTATGTTAGCTATATTGATACTGGATGATGAATGAGCTTCTCATGCTGACATCGTGTAGGTTTCACATACCTTTATCTCTCGCCAGATAACTTTGCTTTGCCACAGGCTCGTGTTGAGAACAGCACACTTGCCCCCAATGGCCCCGGATTCCGTGCAATGATCATTCCCAGTTCAGGTAACCTCACAATCGAAGCAGTGAGAGATATCAAGAGGTTCGCTCGTAATGGTTTGCCTGTGATCCTGTCCGGTGGGCTACCAAATGCGTTCTACACAGGGGACGGAAACACAGACAGTCTCATGAAGGAGATATCTTCCTTGAAAGAAGTGCAAAACGTCCACATTGTATCTTCTGGCCAAGCATCAAAACAGTTAAAATCGCTGGGCGTTGTGCCGCGGGTACAGCTGCAAACTAGTGGCACGTGGTATTCTACATGGCACTCTGACGCGGATGGCGTCGACTATCTTTTCGTCTTGGGTGATACAGTTGATACTGTTGGTAGTGTAAGTGTTGCCACGGCAAAGCGCCCATATGTCCTCGATCCTTGGACTGGGAGCCAAACCCCCGTGCTTGAGTACCAACAAAAGTCTGGTCGAACTGTAGTGCCCCTTCGTCTGGCTGCGAACCAAACGGCTATCATTGGGTTCAGCGGCACGCCCAGCAACACTTCACTATATGCTACTCAGGTACCATCTTCAGTCGTTGGCTACAAGTACGGCAACCGAACAAACAATGTCCAATTGCACGTCTCGTCCGGTTCAACCGACCAGACCCTGAGATTATCCAACGGGAAGACCATATCCCAACTAACGACCAAGGATCCTGCCCCAGGATACCAGCTCACCAACTGGACCCTAACAGTCGAACATTGGGAACGCCCAGACAATCTATCCGACGCATCAATAATCGCAGTCAAGCACAACACAACCCACGAACTCACCTCACTCATCTCCTGGCAAGAAATCCCCAGTATCGCCAACGCCTCCGGGGTTGGCTACTACACCACTACCATACCCTGGCCCCCAACAAGCAAAATAGCAGATGGCGCCTACCTATTCCTCCCGCAGACCGCAAACGCAGCCCGTGTCTATATGAATGGCCACAGACTCCCAGCTTTCGATTTCCAGGCGCCGAAACTTGACCTCAGTGCCTACCTCGTCTCCGGGGAGAATGAATTGACTGTAGAGGTACCATCGACTATGTGGAATTATCTTCGGACCATGTTGGGTGAGCTTTACTCGGCTGGTTCATTACCCCAGCTCGAGGAGTCGGGTCCCGACCCGGTTGATAATGGGTTAATTGGGGTGGCGAGAGTTGTGCCTTTTGTTAGTGTTAGTTTTAATTTGACTTGATGTGATCGCGGTACTGTTTCAGATGGTTGAATATATTGAGGATATGATTCCTGGATTGTTGGCGGAAGGTATATGCTTCAGTTTCATTGTCCTTTTCCCCTCGATTTAGGCCTAACAGTTCGCTGGGTCAAAATTTTCTAGCACTCGTCGTTGATTTCGTACAGTCGAACGTGAATTAATGGGGTTGGTTGTCCTGGGGTGTTACTGCCTCAGGCTTACAGTATTACTACACATTCACTTCACAAAGAACTGCGCCTTCCTCTCCTGAGCCATTACCATTCTCTTCCATTGTTCCTCTCTATTCGTCTCATGTCCCCGATTGCATAGAGCCCGTATTGTTCCGGTGGATACAGGTATCATTCCGATAGAATGTATCGCTAACCAGCCCAATCTCCCGCCAGAGGTCTCACATATGCGACGAAGAATGCCATCTGTTCAAGGGCCAGCTTGTCACTTTCGACTTTAAACGAGATTGCCAGAAAAGGATACTGGGAGAACGACCAACTGTCCCACTGCAGTCCAAGATTTGGCAGCAAGTAGCTACGCGCAAAGAACATGTCGTTGTTCGATTGGAGACGATCTACACAATAAACGCACCCCTATGACATTATACACCGATGCGCTGGCTCCGATTTCAGTCTGGTACAGGATTTAATAAGCAGCAACTGAGCATTTTTCGCATTCAGTAGTCTAGCAACAGTGAGCCAACGACACCGTGTCTATCTAGGACTCCGTTGTGCCATGGCGGGCAGCGTTGATCCGGACTTGCCCGAGCCATGGACTGTGAAAGATGTGAGTCAGGCTGTTTTCGACCAGAAAATCGAATAGTACATTTAATAGGCATACAGATAGTTTGCGTATCGATCATTGGCCCGTTAATGCTGGCAGCTTTTGTGGAGTGGCTTCTCTTTCTCGCGGCATTCTTATATTGCCTCGTAAAGGTGTACCAGAAAGCCGAGCATTGGAGTATCAAGGTCCTTGCTGTGACAATGATGATACTTTTCACCTCACTGAGGTAAGTTGGGGCATGAAGAACAGTGCAAAGAACTATCGGAGACCAAAGCATACTGATCGCTACAGAGGAGTTTTCCTCCCCATTATGGTTGTCACCCTCCCTTTACCACCTCAGCTCACTCAGGAATTCCCTCCTGAGTTCGTGTCCTTCCTCCAATGGTTCGCATTTTGGACATTCTCGGCCTTGCTCACCATCCCCTGGTTGTTCTGCGTTCATAGACTGGTCACAACTTCCATTGGAAGAACTCAGAGGATAAAGGAAGTCTTAGATGAACGGACAGCACCGAAGACTGTGATTGTTATGCCGGTATATAAGGAGAACCCTACAGTCCTGATAAAAGCGATCAATTCGGTTGTCGACAGTGACTACCCGTCGAATTGTATTCATGTATTCTTATCGTATGACGGGGTCATTATTGATGAGCCTTACCTTCGAGTGATCCACCATCTTGGGATACCGATTTGCCTAGATACCTATCCGCAGAGTATTGATGTGACGTATAGGGGCGCCCGAATCACCGTGTCTCGCTTCAAGCATGGCGGCAAGCGATATTGCCAAAAGTTAACATTCAAATTGATTAGTCAAGTATATGAAGAGTACAACACCAAACATGACGATCTTTTTATGTTATTCATCGATTCCGATTGCATCCTGGATCGACTGTGTCTGCAGAACTTTATGTATGAAATGGAGCTGAAACCGGGAAGCAAGCATAACATGTTAGCCATGACCGGGATTATCACATCAACTACAGAAAAGAATAGTCTCATCACGGTGTTACAAGACCTGGAGTACATTCATGGTCAGCTTTTCGAGCGTTCGGTGGAATCGGGCTGCGGCGCTGTGACCTGTCTACCTGGCGCATTGACGATACTGCGATTTTCCGCCTTTCGAAAGATGGCAAGGCATTATTTTGCAGACAAAGCGGAACAATGCGAAGATCTATTTGACTATGCCAAATGCCACTTGGGAGAAGATCGGTGGCTCACACATCTCTTTATGATCGGAGCGAAGGAGCGATATCAGATCCAAATGTGCACCAGTGCGTTCTGCAAAACGGCGGCGGCCCAGACCCTCCGCACTCTCTTGAAGCAACGTCGCCGATGGTTCCTTGGCTACATTACAAACGAGGCGTGCATGTTGACAGACATCCGGCTATGGAGACGGTATCCCTTCCTGTGTTTGGTTCGCCTCATGCAAAATACTATCCGCACAACTGCGCTCCTCTTCTTCGTCCAAGTGATTGCCCTCATGACAACCTCCAGTCGGGTGGCAGATCTCCCTATTGGATTCATCGCAATATCGCTGGGGCTGAATTACGTACTCATGTTCTATTTCGGGATCCGATTGAAGCGATACAAGGCCTGGCTCTATCCGCTGATGTTCGTTGTCAACCCATTCTTCAATTGGCTATACATGGTGTACGGGATTCTCACTGCGGGACAGCGAACCTGGGGAGGGCCGCGAGCTGACGCTGCGAAAGCCGATGAGCATACCTCGCCCGAAGAGGCTGTTGAGCAGGCTCGGGCACAGGGTGATGAGCTCAATGTCATGGTTGATACTTTTCGATCCAAGGCCGACAAAAAGGGGTGTTCCAATCGAGCTTCGGAACAAATCGATCGCCGTCTTTCTGGGTTGCCAGAGCCTCGCAACAGCCACCCTGCCAATCATGACGAGGCGATGGTACCACTCGCTAGTCTGATGACCTCACCCCTGGATGTTCCCCGAATCGGCTTACATCCGAATTGCTCTTCCGACACTGTGGTCACGGACTCTAGCAGCAACTCCATATCGTTACCCATGGATGTAGAGAGCTTGATGAACGAAGAGGATCGAGCGAAGCGGTCAATGGCTCTCCAAGCACAAGAACTCGCGAGTACTCTTGAACAGCTCGCGACAGGCCCCGACAATGGCGATATGTATACACCAAGGCCAGCGATGCTACAGTCTGAAGGTCCCGAGACACATGTTGCATCGGAGCAACCTCGAGGTGCCCCTGACTTTACCTCCTTCCAGAGAGATAATACCGTTCATTGTATGCCGCCCATGCAGCCACAAGGAGCGCTGCAGCCGACATCTGCTCAACAGTCAGTTGAGCTAGGTGTCATGACGGGGAACCATCGCAGTCTTCGACCTCTCGGGGTCGACGCTTACAAAAGACACCGAGGCCAGCGTCACAGCCAAGGAGCCCTGAGTACATGGTGTGACATCACAAGGAAAGAGTCGCTGGGAAGGTCCATTCTCCATTAATACTATCATAGCATGCAATTTTCTCACGTTGGATACCGGTGGGAGGTGGGAGGGCGCGACGAGTTTACGATGTCTATTAATTAGCGAGGAAGAGAGCGATTCTTCTTTTGATCTATTCTTAACTTGTTCTTTGGGGGCCTCTTTCCCTCCCCGAAGGATACTCTAGACTATGCCGGCCAACAATGGATATCATTATCTCATCGGTTCTCCTTTGTGCTCGCTGCCGATAGTCGGTGACTACTATTGAGAGATTAAGACAGGTCATTAATCATCGGGCACATGTGCAACCGCTGCACATGAGTAGCAAACGGTACCTTTTTTGGAGAAATTGGCTCCTAATTCTCCAATCATTGGGGGTACATTAGGTAACTGTTACGTGACGGTGAGTCCAACCCGGGGGTGGCCAAGACTCTCAGGCACCCAATGGCGTACCCCAGGGCCGTAAAATCTCTGAGGGGTGGATTATCGATAAGAGCCAGCAAGCGGAAGACCAGGAAGCAGCAAACCCCGCGGAGGGCGGTGAAGCATATTGCCCCAGCCCACCGCAGGCGGTCAGCGGGGGAAGAATCGAGTGGTAAGCGCTCGAAGGTTCCAAAGGTCAGCGCCATCGGAGCCCAAAGGGAAGCGGTGGTATACGACTTGGAGAAAAGGAGGAGGTTGTAGCCAGATCACTCGAAATAGAAAGCTGGAATGGCACGGGTTTGTCCTATATATAGATCCATTATCATCTCTTCCTTCCCTCGTCTTTTCTCCCTTTAAATCCGGTTTTGATCTGATCGTATAGAACTGCGCAGTACAAAGTTGATAGTGGATCTTCAGTGACCAGCGAGAGAAGCCCACGTCCGGATTTTTTAGAATTTTTTTTTTTCCAACAATTTTTTTTCGATTTTCTTACCTGAGCCACACTTTGCATCACCGCCCGATAGTGGCGCTTTTCAACGTGCAAATTCTCCCCCTCCAGCCCTCTTTCTTCGCTCCCCCAAATCTTTTCATCCTATCTTTTGTGATACCACTTCCTATCCATTACACCTCCTCCTTCTCCTCCATCACTTTTTCTTCCCTCCCACCCTACCTTCCCCGATCACATCTATCTCCCTTTTCACCATGAGTGTAGTTGGAATCGACTTCGGTGCCCAGAGCACCAAGATTGGTGTCGCCCGTAACAAGGGTATCGACATTGTGCGTATCATGCCTTCCCCACCTCCAGCGCTGCTTCTTCTTCTTCTTTTTTTTCCGTTTTAAACAACGCCCTTTGCTTTAACCATCTTGAAATGCAAAGACTAACCATCGATGCGACTCAATCTAGATTACCAACGAAGTTCCAACAGATCTACTCCGTATGTCCACCCTTCTGTTAATATTCCGCCCCGCCTTGGCCAACAATGAGCTGAAAGGCGTGGGTCTCTCCATCTAGCCATACTGACTGTGTATGATGCTCAGCTCCCTCGTCTCCTTCGACAACAAGTGCAGATACCTCGGTGAGGCTGCTAAGACACGAGAGACCTCCAACCTAAAGAACACTGTTGCAAACCTCAAGCGCCTGATTGGCCGCTCATTCAGCGATCCCGATGTTCAGATCGAGCAGAGCTTCAACACTGCTACCCTCTGCGATGTGAACGGCCAGGCCGGTGTCGAGGTCAACTTCCGTCAGCAGAAGCAGAAGTTCTCGGCCACTCAGTTGGTCGCCATGTACCTGACCAAGATCAGAGATATCACCGCCAACGAACTGCAAATCCCCGTCTCCGATATCACCATCAGCGTTCCCGCCTGGTTCACCGATATTCAGCGCCGGGCCATGCTTGACGCTGGTGAGATTGCTGGTCTGAAGGTGCTCAGACTGATCAACGACACCACCGCCACCGCTCTCGGATACGGTATCACTAAGCTCGATCTGCCCGGCCCCGAGGAGAAGCCTCGCCGCGTTATGTTCGTTGACATCGGCCACAGCGACTACACCGCTTCGATTGTTGAATTCCGCAAGGGTGAACTGAACGTCAAGGCCACCGCCTGCGACCGCCACTTCGGTGGTCGTAACTTCGATCTTGCCCTCACCGAGCATTTCGCCGAGGAGTTCAAGGAGAAGTTCAAGATCGATGTCCGTAAGAACGCCAAGGCTTGGGCTCGTACCCTCGCCGCCGCTGAGAAGATGAAGAAGGTCCTTTCGGCGAACCCTGCGGCCCCCATGAGCATCGAGTCTCTCATGGAAGACGTCGACGTTCGCGCCATTGTCAAGCGTGAGGAGCTGGAGACCATGGTTCAGCCTCTCCTGGAGCGCGTCCTTGTTCCCATCGAGCAGGCCCTTGCCGAGGCCAAGCTCAAGCCCGAGGATATTGACAGCATTGAGATGGTTGGTGGCTGCACTCGTGTCCCTGCCATCAAGGAGGCCGTTTCCAAGTTCTTCGGCAAGACCCTTTCCTTCACCCTGAACCAAGATGAGGCCATCGCTCGCGGTTGCGCCTTCGCATGTGCCATTCTCTCTCCCGTTTTCCGTGTCCGTGACTTCTCCGTGCACGACATCGTCAACTACCCCATCGAGTTCACCTGGGAGCAGTCTGCCGATATCCCCGACGAGGACACTAGCCTGACCGTCTTCGGCCGCGGCAATGTCATGCCCTCGACCAAGATTCTCACTTTCTACCGCAAGCAGCCTTTCGACCTCGAAGCTCGCTACGCCAACCCCGAAGAGCTTCCCGGAAAGACCAACCCCTGGGTGGGCCGTTTCTCCGTCAAGGGCGTCAAGGCCGATGCCAACGATGACTTCATGATTTGCAAGCTCAAGGCCCGCCTGAACTTGCACGGTATCCTCAACGTCGAGTCCGGCTACTACGTCGAGGACATGGAAGTCGAGGAGCCCGTCGAGGAGGATGGTGATGTAAGTTGGATTCTCATTTTAATACGCGCACCCTGTTGTACTAACATGTGACTAGGCCATGGACACCGATGCCAAGGGTGACGAGCAGCCCAAGAAGACCCGCAAGGTCAAGAAGCAGGTTCGCAAGGGCGACCTGCCCATCTCCGCCGGCACCCCTGCCATTGAGCCGTCCGTCAAGGAAGCCTGGATCGAGGGCGAGAAGGCCATGTATCTGCATGATAAGACCATCGCCGAGACCGACGAGAAGAAGAACGAGCTTGAAACCACGATCTATGATATGCGTGACAGGAAATATGGTCGCTACGCCAGATTCCTGGAAGATGAGGCGAAGAAGCAGGCCTTCGACGACAAGCTGGATGAGCTCGAGGTACGTTCATACTCCTTTCCTGCTAGGTCGCCATATCTGCGTGCCCGTGCTAACTTTGATTGCGTAGAACTGGCTGTACGATGATGAGGGCGGTGCTGACACCACTCTCGATGTTTATGCTGGCAAGCTCCAGGAGATCAAGAAACTGGTGCAGCCATTCGAGGAGACCCTTGAGGATGAGCGCCAGCAAGCTCTGGCTGAAGAGCTCGCCAAGAAGCGCGCGGAGGAAGAGGCCAAGCGCGCGGCTGAAGAGCAGGCCAAGAAGGCCGCGGCCGCTGCTATGAACTTTGAAGAGCGGAATGAAGCGGTGATGACGGATGCTCCTGCCCAGGACGAAACCCCCGCCGCGGGCGACAAGCAGTAAACGCCTCGCTCCCGTTGCATCGGCTCTTTCCTCATCCTTAATATTCTATATTATCATTGAACACAGCTGTCGCATATGCAGACTGATGCCAATACCTATGAACCAAATTCAATGATGTTGTGCGCTCGATTGTTGTTTTATTTATCATTACGATGCCCCACCCGTTCTTCTTTCTTTCTTCTTTTCGATTGTCGACATGACCTGGCAAAATTCATGTAGAACGAGATTTCTTTTGGTTTTCGTGTGTCGCCGATGGCGTTTCTGTTTCGCCTGGTCTCTCTGCGAGGATACAGGTGAGGTCGTGCCCGACCACTGATTGAACGCCGGGAATTCTTTTGACTCCCGAGTCCGCTGTTGGCACATTCGCTTTCATCCGCCGGGGACCGTTCCCATGGAAGGGCGCACCGAGGCACGCGAGACGGAACCAGAACATAGATATGACATGTGTGGATAGACTTTGGCTCAGCAAAAGTAAATGATTGCCAATACACAAAAGACCCCAAGGACAATAATGCCTAATCATCCTTTCCGGCTCTGCCATGTGTCACTCCAATACTCGTACTTTCCGGGTGAAGGGTGGTGCTGCCCCGTAGATCATAGGCATCCTTTGCCTCATCGGCCGTGTGGGAGGACTACGTTCAGAATCGTAGTCCTCAATATTGACTATTTAGGGATAGAATCTGTAGGGATGTAGTCGCTGAATCATCCGCAGGGGCTTGCCGTACTTAATATAAATAAGTTTGCACGCCATGTCTAGAAACTCATCGTTTTTGCCAATTGGATTCATTCGAAGCTCTAAAAGGCGAATAGGCAACCTGCCCGTTCTATAAACAACTTACAATCCAATCAAGCAGCTTCATTCATATAATATAACTTAACTAACGTCTACCGAGATCGATACGTAGGATCAGTATTGATCCTTTGGGGAACGGAGTGATCAGGTGACCGACCGCATTCCCAATCATGTGTTCCAGCTCTTTCCAACGCGACGACTACATATTCAGGATCCCAAAGACCGGTGAAAAGAGCATTCCTTCGCCAAGACGAATGACATTAGGCAGCACTCATTCGAGTCGACACAGGTCGCCGGGGCGCATGCAGTTATTCGCTTTGCCAAGAACACTGGATTCCAACTCGGCCAGGAGTTGGAGGCGAAGGTCACAACGGCTTTAAGTGGGACCCGGGCTGCTTGGCAGGTTGCCAGAGAGAAAAAGGGGGGTTGTTATGATGGGGATATTCGACGATCGTGGAAATGCATCGTTTGGTACGATTGGACAATCTTGATTTATTTTTGTGGTCTAGTTGAATCCTGTGCATGAATGCGTGGGCATTTCAGGGGCGTTGAGCACTCGTGTGCCTCAGGTCAGTACTTGGGCTCTACTTGGGACCCAAAACGGAAGGCCGGTAGTGGCCGGTGCATGAGATACGGCATTACTTCATGATGGATCCGGGTGCTTTTGTGCATAACAATAGTATAATGCAGACAGGGGATCCAAGCGCTGATGAATTTAGTGCGATGGCGTCGACCGTCGTGGTTGAATGGTCTATATGCTCGACTAAAGCATCTAGTTTGGCGCCCTAAACCAGCCACTGGTACCGGAACAGGAGCGACTGTATTACACCCGACGTAGGGCTGGTTCTGGCTCTTGCGAATACGAGACAATTTTGAGGGTTTGAGAGGTGTCAACTGTCAGGTGGCTCACGATGAAACACCATGCAGTCCGTGATGACGAATGGATGATTGAGATTGATTGATTGTATATGAATGGAGTACGGGAATGTCACCTTCTTTTTTTTTTTTTTTTTTTTTTTTGTTTAATTTTATTTCTCTAGGGGCATAAAATTCCCCATCGTCGAGTAGTATGGAATACATCCGGAGTACTCAGGGTACTCAGGCATGCCCTGCTACTCCCTCACTGGACGGAGGTTCGTAGTGGAGCATCCCTAAAGCGGGCAAATTGGCACGCGAGGTGGCGGCACTTGGGGAAGTCCCGTACCGATACTTACTTAGTACTGTCAGTACTAAGGAAGTAGTATCAGTTCCCCGAATACCCATGTAAGTACTTAGTTCATCGATATGCCATATCTCTGAATTGTGACTCCCCAGTGCCGTGGAAACTTGGAAGGGAGGCCGAAAATCCCTTACGGATGATGCACAGGAATTTCCACCCTTTCAGGGTCCCCCAAGAATCTCTTTTCGCTGGCAATGCATTAATTTCTCCTGCCACAGTGGGGACTTTTGCGTGAACCCAATTACCTTTCGCCCCGCTTTAAAGAACTGAAGCTGCAGTGGTTCCCGTTAATTTTGCCATTTTATGTCATTGTATTTTATTTTGATTTTTTTTTTTTTTTTTTTCTTGGCTTTTTCGACGGATTAGTCGGATGGTAGGAGGAATACCCAAGGTTCCTTTCCCTTCCGGTGCGCGGTCTTGTACTGGGGCAATTTCTTGCTCTGCGTCTTGGAAAGATTTTGATTGTTTTCTTTCTTTCGTTATTTTATCACTTCTCTTTACATTCTTCGGTTCTCTTAGAGTTTCCCCCCCAAGGTTTAGCTTTGCATCGTTTCTCCCTGTTTCGGTTCCTGATCGACGGTACTTGACAGGGATACTACTCTTTTAGGAATATAATATTGGCTCCCTCCCCGGATCCCTCGTGCGCAAAAACTGCTGGTTCACAATCGACTTCCTTCTTACTGTTGCTCTATATACACATATTTACTCAACTTATCAACCGACGGGTGATCGCTAGTTCTCCCGGTCACTATGCGCACCGAGGCGTGATCGATCTGCTCGCTACCCGATCGCCCTCCTTCCTCCCTTCTTCCACCAGTTCTCGAAATGCACCTTTGGGGCCTATTGGCTCTCACCGGTGCGATCTGGTCAGCGCGGACCGAGGCGTCCTCTGGTTTATCGACGAGCAGCGCGGAACAGCATTACGGCAAGGTCGTCAATCACGACGACCCGGACCCCTTGTGGGACAAGTACGGCTTAAACAAATCCGAGGAGTTCAAGTATTTCCATGAACCAGGCCATGATGATACTCTCGGCCACTATGATTCCCGCTACTTTACCGAACCCGTGGCCGACGAGGAACGGCCGCAGACAATGACCCATATGGTGCGCGCCTACTTGAATTTCTTCGACGAAAATGGATTAGAGACGTGGATCGCACATGGGACGTTGCTGGGATGGTGGTGGAACGGCAAGGTATTTCTCGTACTTGGTGTGCGTTTGCGAGGTGTCGCTAACGGGATGCGCTTGCCTGATTTTTCTAGGTCATGCCCTGGGACTGGGATATGGATACTCAAGTACCGGATACCACCTTGCGTCAGCTTGCCGACCGCTATAACCAGACGGTCGTCCGATACTCGACCAAACATCCCGATGAACAACGGACCTACCTCCTCGACATTAACCCCTGGGCTCGTCAACGCGAGAATGGCATGGGATTGAATATCATCGATGCGCGATGGATAGACATGCAAACGGGACTCTATATCGATATCACCGGGTTGAGTAAGATGAACCCGGAGAAGCCGAACCTATGGATAGACAAACACGAGCACCAGTACAGGACGGAGGATATCTATCCCCTCCGGAAGACCACCTTCGAAGGGGTTGCGGCCAAAGTACCCTTTGAGTACGATGCGATTCTGATCGAGGAATACGGGAAGACTGCCTTGACCAGCACGCATTTCCATAAGTGAGTTTTCTAGCCTCCTCATCATTAGATAGTGCTAATCGCATGCAGCCATACGTGGATTCCCGAATCGGAGGAATGGATCCCCGATGATCAAGTGGCTGATGCCATCGACGACGATAAACAGTACGAGTAGCGTGAATGCGCCATTCACGCAGCCAACCGGATGATCTACCCGGACATTGGATGCGGTCATATACCCTCATATATATACCGACATGTATACATCGTGATCTTTGATGTAGCTTCGGAGTTTCTGGGAACTGGTATCTTCATTGGGCGGCGTACGGAGAGACTCTTTTTTTGTGTTCGTTGGATCCTATTTTGCATACGTTGGTGTAGGTTTGGCTTGTATATTTATGTGACATTCTGGCTACTGAATCAGCTTTGCGTCCGATACTGTGCCTTGTGTAACGCAGAACCCTGGACTCGGGACCAAATGGTGTTACTGAAGTCAAAAGGTAAAAGCAAAAAAAAAGAATAGAATTAAAAATTAAATGAAATAAAACGAAACTAACTTGAATACTCTGGAGAAAAGCAACCAAGGCTTTTTTTTCCATGCTAACGATCATTTGATGACGATGAGCAGGTGCCCACAGTGACCTTGTGAGGGGACGAGGGAAACCGATGGGGTATCCGGACACGATGATCGACAGTTAAGTTTGGTTGATCGCGGTTGTCGATCGTCAGGGGAGGGGGGAATTGCTGGCCTGAGGCCGCCAGATGAGCTATCTCCACGTGAACACACAGCTTCATTGTTTATCTTCACCTGACAGCGCTCGATACAGCTGGCTTGCAAGAAGTTCATCGGGGATCTATCTAATCATACCCACGACCTGTGATTACAGGCGATAAAACACCTTTCCCTCAAACAATCGTCGTGCGGTGCGAAACACGCTGACGCTCTCCACGGATGTCTCTCCGTTCTCGTGCGTTTCCAACCTCGCCTCCACGTCCATCAGTCCATTGGGATGTTTGAGCAGCCGCTTGACTGTGCTCATTCTTGGCTCAAACATTATGACTTGCTGTTCTGAAGGGACATTATGGTGGACATGTGCGGCTTCTTGGCGCCGAAGATCCCATGCCACCGTTTCCGGTATGCTGAGCGCGGTGCCGAGACAGACAGCTCCCGTCAGCTGAAGGCTGGGATGAGGTTGACCTAGGCTGAAGGGTAGTACTTCAATATCCGCCTCATTAATGCGGCCTTCTGTGTCCACCTCGCGTCCACCTGGATACAGAAGGGCGATTTTAGGGGTACCTCTAACCCGCCCCGCCGCAGCAGTGGCTCGAGCGAGACCAAACCGCACGGCTCCGGCAACGCGGATATCCTCGATGATTGCGAGCGAGAGGCGAGATGTAGCCTCCGAGTCAAGATAAGCGGCGGGCATGGTACTTGAGTCAACTAATACGAAGGGGTTCGCAGCATCTACTAGACTGACTCGAACGATAAACGGTGTCGGTGTATGGGCTGAGCTCACGGTGAGCATTTCCTGCTTGGCTCCGCTGGGAAAGAGCCTTCCTGTAATGCTACCACCTGGCTTGATGAAAGTCATTTGAATCGGACTCGCTGTGCCTCGAACCCCAGCTATGCTGTAGTCGCCGTCTTCGCAAAAATTGCCGTCCGGGGGTGACGTGGACGGTTTCGACCAGGATTTGCTGTGTGTTGGTGTTAAACACTCTGATGTCTATCTGCCAGTTTAACAATGGTGTCAAAACGTGAACCAAATGACGTGGAAGGCAACCTCACTGTTCTTTGTCCCTGTATGGTTGGTCTCACGAGCTCTTCATCCAGAGCAAACGGCCCTACCCCGGACGCCATGTTGCCACAATTCCCTGTCATGTCAACCTGGGCCTGATCCGAGGCAACCTGAACAAAGGTATAGTCGACGTCGACCCCGTGTCTTTTAGACTTGCGAACTACCGCCACCTTAGAAGTGGTTGATGTCGCGCCGCCGACTCCATTGAGCTGTCTCTTGTCGGCTTCCGCCAAACCCAGAGCAGACAGGAGAATTGGTGCCCAAAGGTCTTTGGATGAAGGGAGGTCATGCTCATGAATGAATAGTCCTTTCGAAGTACCCGCCCTCATCCAGACCTCCGGAATACCCGTTCGGGCTGAATTCGAGGCGTGTGAGACGACGTGCTTGGAAATTCCCGGCATCGAATCGGGCTCAGTCTCTACCTCCTAGCACGGGAAGCTATTTTAGTTGAGTATTTGTGGCCAGTTCACTGCCAATGAAGGCCTGGTGTATCTGGCGTTTTTGAACTGGAAAGGACAAAGAATTGCCTACTGTTGTGAGTGGGACAGCTTTTTTTTATGAAGCCATAGTATTGTGCCGTAAATTAGCATATGCTTCTCGGTCCATCCTCTGGGTAATGATGTCGCACGGCGATACCGCCCGGAAAGACCCTATACATTGTATACATGCAACTCCTTGCTCCGCGGGAAGATCTGGCCCGCGGGAGATAACTTCCCGTGTGATTACCTTCAACGTCACACCTAGATAGCCAATAACGTTCCTAGCTGAGGGTGTCATTTGTGTTGCTCTCAGAGAAGAAGCCCCTCCGTGCCTCTTCTACTGAATCACTTCCTTGTGATGGATTGAGAAAGACTACTCCAACTGAAACAAATACCAACTAGGATCATGCGCAATTTGCTCGACAGACGGCCTGGCGGTCCTGGTGCCGGAAATGCTGGGAAGGTGCTTACTATACGAGTGTATTTCCTAGCTATCGTCACCTCCATGGGGGCGTTCCTATTTGGATATGACATGGCCTTTATCGGCACATCGATTGAGTTGCACTCCTTTAAGCAGTATGCAGGCCCCAAACAGACATCACTACATGGGTGCTGATGACCCTAACAATATACAGGGAGTTTGGGCTGGAGCACGCTTCCAAGCCTGTCGAGGATGCCTTTGCAGCCAATATTGTATCGCTCCTACAAGCAGGCTGCTTCTTCGGATCTCTCATCTCTGCCCCGCTGAGTGATCGTTTTGGACGTAAGCTTGCTCTCGCGCTGGCGGGCCTGATATTCTGCGTCGGAACAGCTATGCAGGTTGCATCTTTGGGAAGGGAGGTTGTGATGCTTGTGGGAAGATTCGTTTGTGGTCTCGTAAGTTGTCCACGTCTTGGCCTGGAAACTAGACAGCAGACAACTAAACGAAACACATATGCGTCGGCTATACTGACTGTGCAATGTAGGCTGTCGGTGCCGCAAGTATGCTCGTTCCCTTGTACACGGCCGAGTGTTCCCCACCTCAAATTCGGGGGCGTCTGGTTGGTATATTTGAGATTGGCGTCCAGGTGGGAATGTGCATCGGGTTCTGGATTAACTACGCTGTCGATCAAACTATGGCACCGTCGACCTCCCAATGGCTGACACCATTCGCTATTCAATTTGTTCCCGGAGGTCTTCTGACTATTGGTCTACTTTTCCTTCCCGAATCCCCGAGATGGATTGCAAGGGTTCGGGGACAGAGTCTCGCCAGGCAGTCCCTTTCGTACCTGCGGGGGCTCCCCGAAACTCATTCCTCTGTGGAGTCGGAACTCAATGATATCATTGCCCAGCTGGAGGACGAAAGGGCGAATAACCCCGGAAAGGGACTCTGGGTCGAGATTAAAGAGCTAACGCACCCGGGTATCAGAGACAGGCTCTTTCTGGGTTTCATGATTATGGTTTTCTTTCAAATGGCTGGCTCCAACGCGATCAACCATTACTCTCCTCGAATATTCCGATCAATCGGTCTGACTGGTAGTAAGACTACCCTGATTTCGACGGGACTCTATGGAGTAGTCCGATTGGTCGCTGTTTGCATCGCCATGTATTGGGTTGTCGACCGCTTTGGGCGGACGCGCATGTTGATTTGCGGGAGTGCTCTGATGGTAAGTCTGCTGTCTTGACCGATCCTAATGCTGCATTCGCGGACTACATTTGGTTTCTGACGAGCTATAACAAAGGCATTTTGCATGTGGTTTATTGGGGCCTTCGTTAAGCTTCACGCTACCACCCACCACGCCGACGCTGACGGGCACATCAGTGCCGGATCATATGCCGCCGCCGTGTTTATCTTTGTTTATGCCACCAGCTTCTGTTTCAGCTGGGCTGGCGTACCATGGATCATCTGCTCCGAGATCTACCCGTTGCGCGTACGGAGTCTTTGTGTGGCCATCTGTACGGCTACCCACTGGCTTCTGAACTTTGTCATTGCCCGCAGTGTCCCTTATATGATCCGGAATATCAAATACGGAACATATTTCTTTTTTGCTAGTTGCCTGACTCTTGCGATCCCGTTTGTGTGGTTAATGGTGCCGGAGACGAAGGGGCTGAAACTCGAAGAGGTGGACAATGTCTTTCAGCATCGAACCTTTTGGGGAAGACAGAAACCTCAGTCACCTCACAGGAATCATGATATCTCTTGTCCCGTGGATGCTGAGAAGGCCGAGACTGGGGGAGTTGAAGATGTCAAGGGCGCCGGGGTCAAGGAGCTCGAGAGGATCGATACTTTAGAGAAGTATTGGCTTAACACCCTGCCAGACTGAGCCTCGATCTAGATCACATTCTGTTCTTATTCGCAGTTTTGGGGATTGCCATGTGGGCTTCGATGTCTCTTAAATATGTCTTGACGATGAGTGTGGTATGTTAGGTGCATAGTCTTACACTAGCCACGACCCGGGAATATGACAATAGCAGTGACCTGCGTTATATGTCCGACAACCACCAGATGAGTTCTACAGAGTTGCCGTCTTGTACTAAACGCTCCCTGAGAGCTTAGTATCATAATTCTCTAGACGCTGTTGTCTCGGCATGCTTCCATTCACACTGCTCACCCTTCTCCGGAGTCTCGGGTCTCCTTACTCCGTAGACACCGATAGTGAAGACTCGGACCTGTGGCTTATATGGCCAATCAATTAACAAGTGTTAGAATCAGGTTATCTACCCCCATCCTTCATATAGTATGGCGAAAGTTTAATGCCCACCATCAAGTCATATCACATGATATCCCGCGGCAACTCCTCATCCGTGACAGCAACGGAGATTTAGTTCCAAGTTTCTACTTGCGACTACGAAATACAGACATCATGACGGAGGCAAGGAAGGTCCTCGAAGCCTTGCCCCGCACCTGCATGTTCTGCCGTGGAAAGCCGTGACTCCGTCGAGACCCGAAAAGATCTGTACACGGTGGGTTGGCGCTACAGGAGGTTCAGATGGTCATCGACTGGAAATGCACATTGACGTGCCCTCACTAAGCAACATGCGCTGATCATCCGATGAGGAATTGGATGTCCGACGGAGAGGCTTCTGGGGCGCATTTGTCATTGAAAGAACTTAATCGCTGTATCACGAACAGTCGCTGAGTCTCCAAGATGTGGACACGGATTTTCCGTTGACATTCTCGATCGGTATGAAAATGATAAGGAGCAAGAGCGTTGGACACCGTTGGCGTACCCCGGCAATCCCACCGTGAGATACACTGCACTCAGAGAGCTCTGTAAAGCGTCTGTGATTCTAAATGGGTCTTCAAGGTGTACTCGGAGAAAAACCCCAAACGTGCGTCGGGGAAATGTTGCCAATTTGGCGAAATTATATTTCGATCTTCAGCAGTGGCACGGCAACTCCCGCAATCTCCAACATTAGGCGATCGCCGAGGGACACTTCTACCCTACGCCCTCTCCTGTTAGCGTTGTACTGTGCAACGTGCTGGTGCTTCACCTTCACCGCCTCTTTGCCGAGGGACGCCATCTTCACAGTACGGCCCCATCCATCTCGATGAATTCGGACTGGACCTGCTTCGAGTACTCCACAACTATGACGACACCTTCCCCATCTGTACGAACGGGTGTGCAGGTAAGTCTATTCCCAAATAGGCCGAAAGGACTTTATACTGAGACCCTAGGTCTGATATCTCCTGGATCTTACCTTTCATAGCTATACCTGAGCCCGCTATGACACGATCGCACCTACTTACCTTGCACTATATAGTTCACTACTTAGATAAAACCAGTACATACGACCATAGGGTGTGGAGAACAGGGCTTCCCG